GGTCGGGGGGGGGGGTGGGGGGGGGGGGGGGGGTGGGGGCGGGGGGGGGAGGGGGGTTCTTGTTACTGGTAGCCCAAGAAAACCTGTAGTCCACCTTTTCTGCCATAATATTCCTGTATTTGTCACTTGGACCAGAATTTTCTGTCAGGAATTTGTTATTTGCTGGCATTTTCCCTTTAGAAACCTCCTGAACCCGCCGATTATCGTTGTTAGGATAATTTATGCATCCTTTTTTAACTGCCTTCTGATCAAATATTTCGTTTGTCAATTTTCGTTTAGTTTCCTTGGCAACATCGTCTTCAGTACTAGTTTGTCCTTGGTTGACATTTATCGAAGGTTTTGCTGCCGATTTTGCTGCTTCCATAATTGTGTCAATGAAGCTTTTTTCTTGGGCTTCCAACCTGTTTTCCTTGACACAGGTTCTTCGATAATCCGTGTTTCCACTGTAGTTTGGATTTGAACTGTTATGGTTGTGTAAGTAGTTTAGATCCTTTGAGGTTGTAGGCCGAGTCAGCACGGCTTTAACTTGGCTTTGAATTTTCAGTTTCTATCAGCAAAAGGTTGGGTTTCTATGGAAACTGTACAATCCTTACGTAACTGGTTGGCTAAATAACCGGCGTAAGGCTTAACCTGCTCACTGGTCTTCGCGTTGCATTTTGCTGATTTAATATCATAAAAAAGAGAAGCTAAATCGAACGTTTGTGTGCCAGCACTAACTATGTTTGCATGACGAGTGGTCGGTTGTGTCTTGAGTTCAAAATTCCTTTGGTGGTGTTGCTCAGAAGTCTCATTCCATCCCTGATTTATGTCTGCTTTATTTTTAAAGATGTCCCTGTGATTACTTCTGGTACAGCCCTTGCCGCCCTTCCCTTTACTTTGAGTCTGCGTCATAGGAACATGAGCATTCCAAGGCCTAGTGTTAGTTTGGTCAGCGGTCATTATAAGTTTACGCTCGCTGTTGATCAATGGGAAAACAGAATCTGAGCACGCCTCTGAGGAATGAGCCACGTCTGTATTTTCAAGTTCACATTTTTGTTTCTTTAAAGAAATGTTCCCACTGACATCTCCGCCGGATTTCGGTTTGAATCTCTTGACCTTTCCCTCATTACAAAAACAGCTTGCCTCTTTGACGTTTTCAGTCTTTCTTTTCTTTTGAGTGTAAGGAAAACTTAGTTTGATAGAACAGTGATTCGTCTTTGCTCCGTTCGCTTCTTTTTTGAGGCATTTTATATTGTTATTTCTATTCATTCTTGCTTCTTTTCTTGTGTTGTCCATACAGATGTTCTTCTTAAGACCTTTATCAGGTTTCTCTTTGCACATCTCTTTCCGAGGTCTATTCTCAACACTAAGACACTCTTCTACGCCTCCTTTGAGCTTGTGTCCTCTTCAACATCCCCTGACTGCCGGAATGCACTCCTAAGTTCTTTGCCTCCTTTTCCTTGTTACACAAGACGTCGTAAGATGAACCAGGCTCTGCCCAGTGTCTCATAACCAGAGTCTCGTCAGCCGTGTTGATTGATGAACGCTGTTTTTTACCAATGCAAGATATCGATGTATAGCTTTTATCGTCGGTCCCCTCGCCATAACAATGATACTGCATTATGCCGTATGTATTTTCGTGATATTGACGATTCTCTATTGTTTGCTCATCCTCCTGATTTTTATTCATGGAATAACCAGGCTCCCTTCCAAAAAAGTCANCAAGATATCGATGTATAGCTTTTATCGTCGGTCCCCTCGCCATAACAATGATACTGCATTATGCCGTATGTATTTTCGTGATATTGACGATTCTCTATTGTTTGCTCATCCTCCTGATTTTTATTCATGGAATAACCAGGCTCCCTTCCAAAAAAGTCATTTTGTTGCCGTTTTCTTGTCTTTTTAAGCTGTATCTACGGCATGAAAGCTCACCTAGTGGAGCAGCAGTATTTGCCAAAAGGTTTGTTAAAAATTTCGATATCTTGCTTTCTGCTTTGTTCACCGCTCTCAGACAATTTTGGTTGGTGTTTTTGAACGCAGATGTATCTCGGCGTCACTTTAAAACTGGATTTCAAGTCCTCTGTAGCGTTTTTCCTCCAGTCTCTCTCTTCGCTCCCTTCCCCCTCCCCCCTCATTCCTTTTTTTCTTTGCTCTCGTCCCAACTTTCTCGACGAACTCGCGCGGAAACGCTTGCTATGCAGGCTAGCACGTTACCAACTCGACGGTTTAGAGCAATTGAACTATGCTAATTAACTAGACGTCGTTATTGTGGGTAAATCTTAAGTAATTATCATAGCAACACTCTTGTCACTGGACCCTTACTGGTCTTTTGTTCTCGTTTGACGGATAGCGAGATGGGTACAATCAAAAGCCATACCTATGGGTGTTGGTACAATACAAATGAAAGAGTGGATTTCCTTGTCGCATAACTTTTTCGCGCGTTGCTATAAAACAAAGGAAAAAATGACTTTGTCCTTCAGTATGCTTTTTTTTATAATAGAGATCTCAGAATGATCTTCAAGTTTGTCCATTTCGTCCAGTTAATGAATAAAAGGTTACGTTTCTAAAGAAACTGCAGTGTTTCGTCGTGAGTGGGGGGAGGGAAACACAAAATTTGGTTGGATCCCCAGCAGGGGCACTCACAGAAAGTATCTTGGATAGGAAAAGGATATACATTTACTACAGAGGTTTTTCTGACAAAGGCTAAGAGTTCGGAAGGCACCCGGCCAGGGAGCAGATTTCCAACACAAAGAACCTCAAGGTCGATTCCGAGGACCTCTGCGTCCGTAACTGCAAAAATTGTCTCCCCGTGAAGTTGACAAACTACATGGGTAGGGCTACTGTGGAGCAGACCCGGTTGACCTTAGTCTCCTTCGCAGCCGTTTTTAGGCTCGTCACGCAACACTCCTCCGAGGGAGTGTTGCGTGACGAGCCTAAAAACGGCTGTGAAGGAGACTAGGTTGACCCAGGTTGACCCCTGTATGAGACAATCTCCCTCACAAGGTGGTCACGAGTTGTCACGTAACAGCAAATTTTCTACCACGTGACGTGTTTAGTCATTACTTTAATTACAGGTAATTTGCATCGTCACAATTGAAGCTGCGTTTGTGGCAACAGCGTCTTGATCTTGGCTGGTTCATTTTTGCCCAAAGTAGCGTGAAAATGTCAATTGTTTCGTTTCTAATGCTTTACTCAACAGTTTTGGTGACAGCCGCTGTTACTGCAAAGCTATCGAAGCTTCATTATTTACCCGAGACGGACATGAATGTGGTAAGTACATAATGGTTTCAGTCCAGTCATGGTTGCATGCTTATAGACAAAACTGAGCTGTCTTTTCTTTAATAACCGATAAGTGCGTCACAAAATCTTCAATACCTACCCTCATTTATGAGTATACTTAATAAACTAAAGCACCCTTTAGTAAATGCTAATTGTGGTTTCTATTTATGAACAATAGACATACGACTGAAATGCATGATGAATACATATTTCATGACTGCGGCAAACTAATGTTAAACGGTCAAGTTTCGCTCTACGCTATTTTGAATCTTCTCACTCTTTCTTCTGGCAATTATTTAAAATGCTTTGTTGTGGAAAATGTTCCAAATATGCGATGAAGATTAGGCATTTTTGCGTTTTGGAGGAAAACAAAATAGCTGAATGAAAGTAATTTGCCTTCAAACAAATAAGTGTTTCGGTCAACACCTAAACATGAACAATTATGACGCTTACAGCATTGTAACGAACACTGAGGCCCTAAAGGTTAAAACGGACAGAGAAAAGTTGGCTCTGTCCTTGTAGTTATCTGAACAAATAATAACCTTTGCGCTTTGAAAATGAAAGGCGAAGCTAAAACGTCGATGACGTAATTGCCTACAGGTAACGCCAGTGGTATCCCTGAACTTATGCATACTGGCAGGCTGCACTGCTGCTGAACTAACTTGATTTTTGTTATGAAGCGTTGAAACTGATTTAAATTTTTTTTCACCAATTTGATTTGTGAATTAGTTGCAACCTGTAAAATATAACGACTCACTAATTGTAACTCACTCATAGAGTAAAGGTCGCAACGGAAAGCGGACTGCCAGCAGTCGTTTTATTTCCTCAATTGAGGCACGTGAGCTGACTGATGATTATGGAGTTAAATCTCGCGGTTTTGCTCTCGTTTCTTTGTTCTGCCCTCGGATTTTTCGCGTTTTTAAAGAAACTAGTCAAAGAGAAGACTGGTCAAAGTCCTTACTCGAAAAGTGGTTCTTGCAGAATGGGCTTTTCAGGCAGTGACGCGAAGAAAGGGACTTTAAGATCTGACAACGCGATGGCAACGAGAACGTAAAAGAAATAGGTTTAGAGGGCAAAACAACAACTGTACACGTGCACCATACCTTTTTGTAAATTTATTTGCCGTTTTTGCATGACTACGACGTGAAATTGCTTACCATTATCGCATTTTATGGAGGACGTAAACAAGCGACGACGAAATTTTATTTCTCTTTCTCAACTTGGATAGGGATCCTAGTAATTCAACTCCAGGGGGGTTCTCCTACTTTGAACTATAAAAGTAAATGGGTAGGAATAATCGCGATAAACACTGGAAGAAAGTAAATTCACTTTTTATGCGACGTTTTCGCTGCCATCGCGTCGTCGGATCGTAAATCCCTTATTTTAGCCAAGTCACGCAACCCCGAGAGTTTTGGGCTAAATCTATAGATTATTTTTAATGTTGCAACAACATTTGGCTCCAAAATCGACAGCAACAGCGACAACAAAACAAAAAACAAAGGTTATTTAGAAAATGTGACGCTCTGCATTTCCAAGAACTGTTAAGACTTTCGTCCTTTAAGTGACTGTGTCGAAGTGGAATTTGGATATGTTGGGTTTTAAGGAGAGGGGGAGTGCCAGAATAAAACCTCTTGGAGAAGAGAACCCAGGCAGCTTTGCTTTGGTGAGAAGATGATTGCTCTTATCAGTGCGCCAGCTCTTCTCCCCACACATTCCACATGGAACCTGTCAGATTCTCCCAGTCGACTAACAAATACTAAAAACCTTGTCTTGTTCAGAGACCTCTAAAGTCAGATTGAGTATGAGTAATTGTGTAAACCAAGCTCGTGTCGCTTGACCTCCACTTATATAAGGCGAATTTGTTTCGAATTTTTACTTGTCTCATATGAAATCCCATAAATCGTTACCTACACTGTGCAAAATTTCTAAATATATTAATTTTCCGAACAAGCACCCTCACATAGTGATAGTTCAAAAAGGCCCGCAGAGTTTAGGGAAGAAATACTGACATCGCGATCAATTCTCTCCTCTTTTAATATTTTGCAGACCCAAATCATCCGTTACAATGGGTATCCTGCCGAGGAGTACAGCGTTGTTACAGATGATGGTTACATTATTTACATACAGAGGATACCATCAGGAAGAAATCAAGATCCCAGCAGCGGTCCAAAGCCAGTGATATTCCTCCAGCACGGTCTCCTTTGCTCCTCGTCCAATTGGGTCGTTAATTTACCGAATGAGGGTTTTGCTTTCATCCTGGCTGACGCAGGATTCGACGTTTGGTTGGGGAATGTAAGAGGAAATACGTACGGTCTTCGCCATGTAAAGTACCCGGTGCATTCTGATGAGTTTTGGAATTTTAGGTCAGACAGTCGCCCACTTTTTAACATATGTCGCGTAAGCTAGGGTTAATCGGGCTACAAAAGCGTGCCAATTGTTTCGAAGCATTGGTGCAAAACGCGCGAAAGTGATGTTGCGCGTTTTATCATCCACGTTCAAACCGGTCGTGCAAGTTGCAACAAATCTGGTTGCTGCAAGTTGCGTGAATAACTGACTTCTGATTGTATGAAATAAGGCGGGAGTCACGCCATACACGGGAGTTGCAAAACAAGTTTGCCATGGGCCGTTAAAACGCGCATCATGTACAAATTTTGGTGCAAAAAGTAAAGCTACTCTTCTTTCTGCAACAACTTTTCAAAACCTGCAACAACCTGATTTGTTGCAAGACAGGTTAAGGTCGTGGGTGGTAAAACGCTCAACATCGCTATTGAACTCGTTTAGTAGCCTGCGTAGCATGGCGGTTTTGGTTGGGCGCGTTAAGTAATAAAGGCGGGCGAGGGCAAAGAAACCGCGAGGAGATTGGGGCGGGTTAGGGTTAGGGTTAGGCTCGACAAAACCGCCATGCTACGCAGGCTACTCGTTTAGCAGCAGTGTTGCAAAATAAGTTGTACATTTTTTGCTGTCCGTTACCATACGTTTAGTTATAGCTGGCTTGTGAGGCGGGCTAAGAGGAACTGTGATGTGAGGCCGCGAGTAACCTCTTCGTTTGGGGACTTTTTCAAGTTCTATGGCGGCTCACTACAAATACGACTCGTCGTGAATAGCTTGCTCTCAGGCTACTGTTTTGTTGGTCGTTGAGTCACAGTAGATCGAGAGTACGCGTGGGGGGCGAGCGGCGAAGGCGCGAGGAAAGATGGCGGAAGCTTTTTCCGCTCTCCGCCCACATCTCTCCTCCTTTTTACCATTAATTTGCAAATTTTACTTTTACACTCGCCGCGCGTGGCTCTGAGGAAAAAAGGACGACCGCTTGCGGTCTATAGGTATTAGGGACCTTACGAAACTACGACGGCGACTGCAAGGAGAACGTGAAAAAAACAATAGTTTTAATGAGCAAAACAACAACTCTGCACGTGCATCACGCTTTTTTGTACATTTCTTTGCTGTGCCTGCACAACAACGACGTGAAATGACCACACTTTAAGTTTACTTGAGTACGGGAACGACAAGGCGATAACTTCTACCATCTCTGTCTGAACTCGGGCGGGGCCCCCTCTCTTCAGCTCCAACCAAAATTCCCTTCTTTTAAGTAACAGTGCGAATTGGGATAATCGCGAAAACGTCTAAAATGATGCGAAGTCCATTTTTCAACGACGTTTTCATGGACGTCGCCGTTGTCGGATCGTAAGGTCTCTATTGTAACGACGAGCCCCCCGTAAATGGCTATACATATACCGCTATTTACTACTCAACTTCGAGAAGGGCCATCTCCCCAAGTTCTTTTCAGGAAAACGTCGAGCAGGCGTATTCATCACTCAACGAAATGTTCCAACCGTTAAGCGGCCCACGTTACACAGACTTGGTAATAAATGGATAAAAGTACAAGAGAAATTGCAGTTATAAAATGTTTGTTAATCTTGTAGCTGGGATGAGATGGCAAGCCAAGACCTTCCCGCCATGTTGAACTTTGTTACAAACAAAACATCACAGTCCTCGATATATTACGCTGCCCATTCACAAGGAACCTTGATGGCTTTTGCCGAGTTTTCCAGGAANACTCAACGAAATGTTCCAACCGTTAAGCGGCCCACGTTACACAGACTTGGTAATAAATGGATAAAAGTACAAGAGAAATTGCAGTTATAAAATGTTTGTTAATCTTGTAGCTGGGATGAGATGGCAAGCCAAGACCTTCCCGCCATGTTGAACTTTGTTACAAACAAAACATCACAGTCCTCGATATATTACGCTGCCCATTCACAAGGAACCACGATGGCTTTTGCCGAGTTTTCCAGGAATAAAGAATTAGCGAAAAAAGTGAAGAAGTTCTTTGCTATGGGACCCGTGGCCACTGTGGGCCATATGGAGAGTCCTATTAAATATCTTGCTGATGCGATAGACGAAATAGAGGTATGATGTTAGATGAACACCGTAGGCATGTAACCCTGTAGTGTAGACCTCTGTTCCAATGCTTAATGCAGGGGTTTTCGTGAGAAACAATCTAAATTTACCTCCTAATTTTGCGGGAAAAAAACTGATACACAAGCAACAGGTTTAGATTAACTTTGCAAGTGCATCATACTCCTTTGTACATTTCTTTGCCTTCGGTGAACCACTAGAAACGGAAATTTCTCTTCAGGTTTTTATGGAGGACTCGGACTCTCTTGTACCTTCCTTTAAAATTCAGCTCCACGAAAATCCGCCAACATTTGACAAATTGAAGAGATGGAATAAGAGCCTGAAAGCCATAACCCATAAGTTATCTTTCTCAATTTGGATATGGTTCTCAAGCCCCGTGCAAACGGACGCAACAGTGTTGGCTGGCAACTCCCACTTTGACTCTGAAGATGACTACCGCACAGGTTGTCGAAACCTCAGTCACTGTCAACAACAACAGTCCTATTCAGGACTACGTTCACCCGGCCGATCAAACTCAACCATCTTTTGAAACTCCCAACATTGTTAGGTTTTATATGTTGCGTCCATTTGCACACCCTGTTGCATGTTGTTGGATGTTGTTGGAAGTTGTTACGCAAAGTTTGAAACCGGTCAAACTATTAGCTCCGCTCCGTGCAAACGGACGCAACAACTCTTAACACTGCGATGTCCGTTTGCACGTAGCTTTATGAGTTCAGCTCCAGGCCCCAGTTGTTCAAAAGGTGATAGCGCTATCCACTGGATAAATCTCTGTCCAGTGGATAGCGTAATTGGTTTTCTAATACTTATCCACTAGATTGTGATTTATCCGATGGATAGCGCTATCCAACGTTTAAACAACCCGGGCCAGGAGCGTTCGAGTTAGTGAGAGCCTCTGTATGGATACCTGCGGTCGACGATTTCGTCTCGTCTTTTCCATCAAGTCGTCGGTTTTTTTCATCAGGCGAACTGATCGTCGCATCACAAGAATTGTTTTGCATGGTAACGCTACTAGCGAGCTCAGCGCAACCACGACGATGATGGAAACGAGAAAAAAGCAAAACAAAAACTGAACGTTGTTACGTTCAGTTTTTGTTTTGCTTTTTTCAGTGGTAGGTTTCTTTGCCGTCATTGTACGATTAACGTTGTCAAACTTGGTTAAAATCAATGGCGATCGTCGCGACTTCGATTTCTTGGGAAATACCCATAGAGGCTCACGTGAGTTGCAGGCAGAATAATCGCGATGAAGAGTGAGGAACGCGAATTCACTTTTTAAGCTTCGTTTCTTGCTGCCATCGCATTCTTCGGATCTTAAGATCCCTATTAATTATTTTAAGGTGCGTACCTTTAAAACATGGAAAATCTTCCTAATTGTATTCTTTCTTTTTTATGCAGTTTTTGTTTGAGGTTTTGGGCGTTCGTGATTTTCTACCATCTGATGACATTATTCATTTGTTGGCTAAATATGTTTGCTCAGATAAAGAATTTGAAACGTTCTGCTCAGACATAATTTTTATCATCTGTGGCTTTGATAAGAAGCAGCTGAATGAGGTAAGCAATACTGAGTCAATAAAAAGATAAATCTCATCCGATTGAAGAAATATATAAAGCTATTCCAATTAACGCTAGGCTGATTTCGCAAGCTATAAAGTTGTACCAGAAAGAGGTCACGCTTGATCACCAATGATGGCATTTCATCGCTTGCTTGTCGGGTTGAGTTGTAGCAAGTATGATCATCATACTGAATTCAAATTCAAATCGTAACACTCTCATTGCGTTATTCTAAGCGCGCTAAGTTTACACATTGTCGCGCGCGCAAACAGTTTCAAATTTAATATTTTCGTACATGTCTGTAAACCCAGTGGGTAATCAAGACCCAAATCACAAAGAACTTTTGATTGTGGGACTCATCCCTCGTAGTCCTTTATCCCACAACTATTAACTGACATTATCATAGAAGGTTCTGTAATTTGCAAAATGTCTATGTCCGTTCAACGTTTCTCAGGTGATATTTTACTGCCCAGCATCCGCCCACAGCACTATACTCATTTGTAACCTCTAGTTTTAAGGGTTTTTTTGTTTGCTTTAATGACAGACTCGACTTCCAATATATTATACACACACGCCAGCTGGAACGTCAGTCAGGAACATAGTTCACTTTGCGCAGGTAAGTTCACTGATTTGAGCTTAATGCCTGCCGATCTATCCGCACCGAGTATCCTAACATGCAGTTAGGCACGATTTCTTATGCCATTTTAATCACATCTTTCTCTGTAATTAGATGTACAAATCCAAGAAATTCCAGATGTATGATTACGGAAGTTCCAAGGAAAACAAGAAGCACTATGGGCAGGTATGCTTTATAAAGAGAGGAATAAACCGAAAAGCTCGGTTTCTTCTTCATGAAGTATTAAAAAAGACGTTACTGAGAGGCCAAAAAGGTCGAGTGGATCTGAAACACAACGGGTGCTAAAGATTGGTTTTTAAGGACTTGGACGAATATTAATCGGTGTAGGAACTTTTAAAATAAATAGCAAGTTTAGGACAATCACCAGATTGGTAATAGGAGATTAATTAGGACTGCTGTGAACCTTGGTGTCGCGAGGTAATGCGTGCAGACGAACTTGTCTGAATCATGAGCGGCATTTGTCGTACCCGTAACACATTTTTTTTACACGTTTGAGTCAAGTTCATCGCCCTTTTACGTGAGTTTTCATAACTAAAGGTAACCACTCTCCACAGTGAGAGCAGTATTGAATAGAGTAGACTTTACATTCAGCCAAAGTTGTCTTACACTCGCGTTACCTTGCGCAGACAGTTTAAAATCTTTTCCGACGTTTGTCTCTTTTAATATATTTAGTTTTAAAATGACCACAAAGTGGCCAGGAAGCCTGCGGCTCGGCTTGCCTCAAACAGAATTCTTTCTCGGGAAAATTTCCATTGGCGAATGGGCCAAATTGTTCGTCAGGGACCTTGCTTGTACCTGATAAATTACCAAGAGAAGCAGACACATCAAGAACACTGCCTCTTTCTAACTTCTTTCATACCGTTTCTTTCTAGCCCACTCCACCTCAATACAATGCCTCAGACATGACAGTCCCCGTGGCTTTATACTGGGCACAGAATGACTGGCTTGCTGACCCCACAGACGTGAACGCACTTCTTCCACTGCTACCAAATAAACTTTACAACAAATACATCAAAAATTGGGACCATTTGGACTTCATCTGGGGAATGGACGCTGCTAAAAAAGTATATGATGATATAATTAGAAATATTACGTCGGATTATATGGATGTGTTTAATCCCGGTTTTGAGCCTTAATATATTCAAGAAAACTCGCAAACGCTAAGTGTTCTCTGTATATTTTTAATAAAATAAGAATCGATTCATTATTCCAAAATAATAAGAAGTTATTTTAAAATTAAGATGCCGTGAAATGTGTCCGTTCAGTACAGTCACAGGAACCTAGTTAGTGACGGAAGCATCTGCTTAATACGTTTTTCCCATGATATACAGTCAATTCCCTTTATTGCGGACACCTCAAGGCAGAGTCCTCATTAGCGGGTGTCCCCAATAGCGAAAGTAAATTTTAGTTAAACGTCTGTAATATGTTTTTGCCGGGGATTTAGCTGCTGTTTTTGCCGGGGATTTAGCTGCTGTCCGTTTTATTGAGGTGTCCTTTATAGCGGGGTGTGCGCAACGCGAGAGTTGACTGTAGTAAGAAAAGTTTGGGTAACATTGTGCCCGCTTCAGTAAAACAATAATTGGATTCGGCTTTAAAATGAAGTTCGTCTAATTAGCCAAATTGAGGTGTTGTTTCGAATTGTACTATGGGACTCTTTTTGGGGGACGCTATCGATTCAAGGTTGCACAGGAAACTGGGTGAAAATTCATCCCCCACAGCAACACCAGCCTAGTCCCAAGCGCAACCCGAAAAGAGTCCAATTATGTTTCACGCAAATACATGTTTGATCTTCATTTTTTACAAAAGAATTATTTGATAACGAGAAAATAGATATTGATGGCCATCAATTGTGAGAGGCACACTAAAAGCATGTCTTACTACCTACGCATGCGCAAGTGTAACGTTGATTCTTAGACTTGCAAGTAACTAACAGTCTGTATTGTTCTATCATGGTTGACGCACGTTTTAATGTACGTTCGGCAAATATATCAAAAGGTGTCACTTAGATCGGGCTATGTAACCCGATTGGTTTTCGAATCAAAGAAAACACAAACGTGGTAATGGTTTAGTTTGCGTGTCTTTGGCCTACTGCAAATTGATAACATTGATTTTTGGGCTAGCTTTCAACTCGTAATTGTATTGTCAAAAAAATATAAAAAGCAACATGCTCTGTTTTCCTTTCGAGAGAATGGTGTTTTTTTTTAGAGTTCGTATTAAGTTTGAGAATAGTTAGTTAATTTAAGCTCTGTTTTTAACCCAAAATTTGGAACTCAATCGCCCTTAAGTTTCTCCGCGATTCTTTTCTGTAATGCATATCATAGTGTGCATGTTTGTTGTGCTGAAATAAAGAAACGTGGAACTACGCCGCAAAAGATGGTTTCCCAAACTAAATCTTCGAAAAACCTTCCTCCCCTTATACTCACATACTGGCGTACTATGAATTCTGTACGTAGTATTGCGCTATGGTTGTTACTGGTAGCCGCGTAGCTGAGACATAGAGAGATCATTATCTCTCCCATTTTGTAAACTGACTGTCACCTTGTGGTACGCCTTCAACGCGTAAGTTTGTAGGTGAGCCTGTGCATATAATTTTTGCCCTTATTTTGCATAAAAGCAATGATTGGAATTTGAACTCGAATTATGACTCCAAAAAAAATTCAAGAACAGCACCTTTATTCTAACAGCAGTGTTTCGTGGTCATAATTTTTGCAACTGTGACTAGGAAGACGTTTTCCTGCACGAAAAGTTTTCAACCAACCAGTGATGTTCCTCACCGCTCCTTTTTGATCCGTAAGAGCTGTAGTCCACCTTTTCTGCCATAATATTCCTGTTTTTGTCACTTAGACCAGAATTTTCTGCCAGGAATTTGTTATTTGCTGGCATTTTCCCCTTAGAAACCTCCTGAACTTGTCGATTATCGTTGTTAGGGTAATTTACGCAGGCTTTTTTAACTGCAATCTGATCAAATATTTTGCTTGTCAATTTTCGTTTAGTTCCCTTGGCAACATTATCTTCAGTACTAGTTTGTCCTTGGTTGACATTTATCGAAGGTTTTGCTGCCGCTTTTGCTGCTTCCATAATTGTGTCAATGAAGCTTTTTTCTTGGGCTTCCAGCCAGTTTTCCTTTACACAAGTTCTTTGATAATCCGTGTTTCCTCTGTAGTTTGGATTTGAACTGTTATGGTTGTGGAAGTAGTTTAGATCCTTTGAGGTTGTAGGCCGATTCATCACGACTTTAACTTGGTTTTGAATTGTATTTCTATCAGCGAAAGGTTGGGTTTCTATAGAAACTGTACAATCCTTACGGAACTGGTGGGCTACATGACCGTGAGATGTTTCCCCAGCCCTTGTAAGCTTATTCGTTGCAACATCTTTTGTTCGTTTTGACTTAACACATGTCATTCTATTATCGCCGGCGTAAGGCTTAACCTGCTCACTGGTCTTCGCGTTGCATTTTGCTGATTTAATATCATAAAAGACAGAAGCTAAATCGAACGTTTGTGCGCCAGCACTAACTATGTTTGCATGACGAGTGGTGGGTTGTGTCTTTACTCTATTTTGGGTCTGTTTATCAGGCGCTCTGTAGTAAGTCTTACTTGGAGTGCTAGAACCTTGATTTTTCATGTTTATTGATTGTTTAGCGCAGCTACGGTTGTTTTTGTTCTTTAATGACAGCTTTTCTTTGAGTGGTCCGTTTATCTTCTTGCTATCACAAGAGATGACAGCCCTTTGGAAAACGTTACTCTGAGGCTGTAAATGAGCAGTTTCTTCTTCTGTGAGTTCAAAATTCCTTTGGTGTTGTTGCTCAGAAGTCTCATTCCATCCCTGATTTATGCCTGCTTTATTTTTAAAGATTTCCCTGTAATTACTTCTGGTACAGCCCTTGGAGCGCTTCCCTTTACTTTCAGTCTGCGTCATAGGAACATGAGCATTCCAAGGCCTCGTGTTTGTTTGGTCAGCGGTCATTATAAGTTTACGCTCGCTGTTGATCAATGGGAAAGCAGAATCTGAGCACGCCTCTGAGGAGTGAGCCACATCTGTATTTTCAAGTTCACCTTTTTGTTTCTTTAAAGAAATGTTCCCACTGACATCTCCGCCGGATTTCGGTTTGAATCTCTTGACTTTTCCCTCATTACAAAAATAGCTTGCCTCTTTGAGTTTTTCAACCTTTCTTTTCTTTTGACTGTAAGGAAAACTTAGTTTGATAGAACAGTGATTCGTCTTTGGTCCGTTCGCTTCTTTTTTGAGGCCTTTTAAATTGTTATTTCTATTCATTCTTGCTTCTTTTCTTGTGTTCACCATACAGATGTTCTTCTTAAGACCTTTATCAGGTTTCTCTTTGCACATCTCTTTCCGAGGTCTATTCTCAACACTAGTACTAAGACACTCTTCTACGCCACCTTTTAGTTTCTGTGTCTTCTTCAACATCCCCTTTCCGCCGAAAAGCATTCCTAAGTTCTTCGCCTCCTTTTCCTTGTTACACAAGACATCGTAAGATGAACCAGCCTCTACCCAGTGTCTCATAACCATAATTTCGTCAGCCGTGTTGATTGATGAACGCTGTTTTTTATCAACGCAAGATATCGATGTATAGTTTTCATCGTCAGTCCCCTCGCCATGACAATGATACTGCATCATGCCGTATGTCTTTTCCTGATTTTGACGATTCTCTGTTGTTTGCCCATCCTCATGGTTTTTATTCATGGAATAACCAGGCTCGCTTCCAAAAAAAGTCATTTCATTGCCGTTTTCTTGTCTTTTTAAGCTGTATCTACGGCATGAAAGCTCACCTAGTGGAGCAGCAGTATTTGGCAAAAGTTTTGTTAAGAATTTTGATGTCTTGCTTTTTCTTTGTTCACCGCTCTCAGGCAATTTTGGTTGCTGTTTTCGAAAGCAGATGTCTCTCGGCGTCAGTTTAAAACTGGATTTCAAGTCCTCTGTGGCGTTTTCCCCCAGTCTCTCAAATGAGAACTCTCCGAATTTTTTGGTACCATTCCCGGGTTCAGGATCTACTATGGAGCTTGTTTTATCAAAACACAAAACATATCCTATGTTGCTCCTATCAATTTCAGCGTTTCTAGAACAATCCAAAGCTTTTTTCTTTCCTTTCCCGATACCGCGTGCTTTAACAATAGGAGTTTCACATTCCGCATCAATTGCCATTTTTTGTAACTGAAATGAAAGAAAAGAAAAGCTCTTGCAATCTTGGTTATTTTTGCTAACGGCTTTTTAAAATGATTATTGGGCTGCCTGTGGCAAAGCTTATTCTAGTTTTAGGTAGCAGGTCGTCTCCTACCAAAGACGAGAAATGCATGACTCATTCCCAAAGGAGGATGGAGTGGGGCTGACAATTCTGTATGGGGGCCAAGGGGATGGGTCATTTCAGATAACTAATCTGGTTAACCGACTTGGAACGAAAACAGTATTTGAATATTCTTGCGTGGAACTCATACCGATTAATCTGAAAAAATTCGATCAGGTAGTAACCTAAAGAAGCTCTTTAACTTGTTGTTGCCAAATCGGAGGGGCTTGGTAGGTCCGCAGTGCGTGGAACTGAATAATTTAAGTACCCTTTCATTTTGCTCTCTTTAATTATCAGCGCGTTACTCCGGTGAGACAATATATATGCGTATAGTTGCGGGCAAGTCCCAAATTTCCTTCCAGCGCCTTGGGTTTGCCAACTTTCCTGTTTAAACTAGAGCAACGTCAAGTGATTAGATGATTGTGTTTCACTGATCAAGTCTACTTCGATATCCTTACCTGTTTGTAAAGGATTTGATGCTTAGTGAGGTAGTAATAATGAATGCACTGAGCCACTGTCTGCAAAGTGCGAAGGATTGTCATGAGAAAACTAACAGCTCACTGACTGATTTAATAAATTTTGGTATCAGAAATGGCGTTGCATCAAATGGGTCTTGTCTTTGTAAAGATTGAATTTGTTTGTTCCTTTGCCAAACTGTATAAGGGCCTGTTTACATGAAGGTGGCGGACCCCAGGTAGGTGAGGTAACATGTGGCGGGTTACCCCACCTAACATGTAAACGTGATCACATTAAAATGAGAGATTATACGGACAAGCGGGTTACCCCACCTAAGCGGGTTACCTCACCTATCTCAGGTACCCCACCTCCATGTAAACAGGCCCTTAATCGCTTTACTGTAATGACGCAGACGTCTCACCTTGCCTGGCAAAGAATAAGCAATTTGAGTGAAATCTTTCCCGAACTTGATGAATCTGTGGAATTGAAAAGTCATCATCAATACTTTGTTGGGAATGTTTATCGGACATACTTGCGATCCTTTCAATTTACAATCCAAAGTCAAACTTTCTTCTTTACACTCTAAGGTGAGAAGATTTGTTTCAGCCTTAAACGGGACTAAAATACATTAATTGCACAGTTCTTTAGTGCTGATAATTGAATGAATAAATAAATTAAATGAATCCCAGGGAGGCAAGCGAATATAGGCCTGATTTTATTCAAATCTTGATCAAATGGCTCCATGGGAGTGAATCAAGTAGAACCATCTGTGTAAGAACCTGTTTAGCCTATAATTTGAGAAAGGTTCTTATTTTTTAGATCTTAAAAAACAATGTGTACACTAAGGCAAACAAGATCGAGTAAGTCAACATGTGATCAGTGCTTCAACGTACAATATTTTAATCGTCATTTTAACATTTGAACATAAATACTTATTTAGTATGATGCAGATTGTAACACGCGTTAAGCTATATTAATGTATTTTTTCTTCAGAGAGAAAAACTTACAAAAGAACGTAAATAACCTAAATGTGTGCTATACTAATTACTACAACTAGGAGTTAGCGTAGCAAATCATGATCAGTACCTTCGAGTAAAGACATCTCTTTCTCGTTCGCTCCAGCTTGCAAGTACGTCCCTTTTTATGTTAATAGGAAGGTTTGATGAGCGTTCTAAGAAATAAAACGTTTTGTTGTTATTCAATTTCCAAGATTGCATGTACGAATCTCTTCAAAATCAAGCCGATTGTTCAACGGGACAGATGAAATAAAATTGCGGGTGGCCTGCAAAACAAAAAACTGAAAAAAGCATTATTGTATGGCTACTCATAAAGAACCAACTCGTGGAAGAACTGTCATAAAACTCATTATTATGATTTTTCTGTTTCTAATACTCGTTTTAATGTTCTAACCTCTTCGTAAGCTGTTTTACACAGCTGCATTTTATTTATACTTTTCTAAAATATAGTAAATTTGATGCTTTTCTTCTCCTCGTCAATACTAGCTACGACGCACCTTTTGTAGAATTTTTCCCGCAGAACTGAGCCTCCAATGTTTTTTCTCCGCATCGTGGAAGCATGTCCTCGGGTATACAGTTGACCCTGAAACACTTTCGTGAAGAGAAAGTAAATGAAAAAGAAAACTAGTCAGCAGTCAGTTTTTAGTCTCATGCCTTCATTTTAGTGAAATTAGTATTGTTTGTACCATTGTTTACTGTATTTAATATTTATTCATTCATCAATTTATTTATTTGTCTATTTTCTCTGAGATAAAAAATTTAATACGGCAAACTTATAATGACTGAAATCTGAACATACTGGCTAGAAAAAAAAAATGGACATTTAACAACGTTGTTTTCATTATAAAAAACTTACCATCCACTTTTTATGATATATATTCCAGCAAAACTGTGAATTAAACTTCTGAGAACTATGGAATAAAATGGAACGGAAATAACAAAAGAAGTGTTGTGCTAAATGAAATCATTGTAGATTGCATAGAAATTGAAAAAAACATTATAAAAAAGTTCCTTTGTCAGGTAGAAAAAAAAACAATGTTTCTGTTTTTTTGTTACCTCAATCGGGTTTGACGTGTTCTCATAGTTTTTTACGCTACTGATAAGCAGTAAGCTGTGAATACTGCCCCAGAGGTTTGTCTTTTGTTGGGTTGATCTACTGAGACATGTACTGAGCTGAAGGACCGCGGAGACTTTGTGACGTCATAATAGAAAGTCAATTTCATTTCAATTGGTCGATTTATGCGCGCGCTTAATTGGTTGTTAGGCTGATTTTAATAGCAACAGAACGTGAACGTCAGTTGACGACGGCACGCGCAAATCAAACAACTGGCTTGACCAATGGCAGAGCGGCAAATTGAGCACCGGAAGTCGTGTTTAGCCCTTTCCGCGCGCTTTCCCGTCGTCAACTGACGTTCCCGTCCTGTTGCTAAATCAGCCTGTTTTTAGAGTAAAAACGAACTCAACGAACACCCGCGTGGTGCGCTTAAACTCCTCAATTCCAAATTAAACCCGTTGACCATTAAAAACTAGTAACGACTATTCAAAAAGTCTGTCGGTCTTTCCCTCTACATGGCTTTAACTTTTAAGTCTTCTCCACTATGGATGAAACTGTTAGTGATACAGATTAAATTAACTAAGACTGACAGAGTGTCTTACTTATATAGAAAAATTCCACGACCTTTCCCATATGTTGGTCCCAATTTCTCGATACGCTATAGTCATTCTTGACTCCTAGGAAAAACGATAAAAATTTATCAGGATGGAGATTCGCTGGTATTACTGAAACTGTGAACAAAGCTCAAAGTGGCAAGATTCTTTAGCTTAACCTTAAGTTTATTGAAAGTACCACGAATATTGTTCACATTTCGGAGGTTTACGACGCCTAATATCAAAATAAATTTGTTCCTGTAGTTTTTCTTCCTACGACCCATTTTTAATAATTTCCTTCTTGAAGTGTACTGATACTGTTCCTCTGGTTTGAAATGTGAGGTTTAAATTTGAACGCAGTTAAATTGAACGAGGGAAATCAGTACGAATGAAGAGCTAAGGTTATTTTTTTGACAGATTAACTTGAAGAACTCAACCTAAACTAACTTGATTTCTGCTAAACGATTTCAAGTATCTGAGAACAGAGAAAAGTGGACGCCATTCTGAATCTGGTCATGTAGAAAATGGCGTAATGAAACTCTTTTTATTTCGTAATTTATTTTAAGAGTTAAGTTCCCTACAGCAACTTTTTTGATACACCCCTTGGCTACATTCCCCAGGAGAAATACTACAGTGCGCGTGAAGTCGCGTATTGCGTGGAAAGGTGAGAGAACAAATATTTCAAAAGGGTCCCTAATTCTCTCTGACCTCCACTTGTCGCTTTTCCTCGCGGGAGGATAAGTCACATGTGTTCGCACATTTCCTTTACTGTACTGCAGTTGAGAAAAAAACTAAGGACTAATCGTAGTCTAGGAATGATCTCATGACTCTTATTTCCCCGCCGGCCAGTAATAATTGCCAATAATAATGAAAAGGGAAACTGGGCAGGATATTTAATTGCGGTGCAGATTTAAATTACTCTACGACTGGTGCCTGCTTTGTCGCACGTCCATATATGGTATATTTGGCAACTAAGCTTTGATCAGAACACCGTTATTACTCTATGATGTAATAACGCGCGTGAATCACGTATAAACATACAGGGTTGGCTTCCCAACGGAAGCAAAATGACTCAGGTTGACTCCCTCGGATCGTCTAGAGGTTGTCTCAAAAATACAGGATGACATTACGCCAAGCGTGAAATAAGCTCTTCAAACTCGAGTTCGACTTGTGGGTGGTGGTTGTGTAAAGAACTTGAGTTAACCTGTTGGCAAGAAATTACGCTGGGAAGTCCTGCACTGTGATATGCCTTATGGAAGATTGGTTATTGTGTGTCTTTTTACGGTTCTTGAACATTGGCATTTTATAGCGTGTTCGCCCGTTAATCGTAACCTCAGCAACTCGGAGCAAAGTCGCCAAACTGGCGTAGATTTGAGGAGTTTGCATTTTCCAAGAGAATATCATGCTACAGGTGTCTTGTCTCTTCCTACAAATAATATCAACGAACCGTTTGAAGTCTGGCATAGTCAAACTTACGACAAGAGTAGAATAGATTACTATCATGGTAAGCCGGAAAATACCATTTTTTTTCCTAACAGTGATAAAAAATTTTAAAGAAACTTCAGGGTATGTCTGTTTTTGGAGTATTTTTAGATCATTTGACGGATTATTTGTTGCGATTTAGACACGGTACCCGCATCATATTACAAAAATATCAAAGTTTATTTGTTGTTGTTAAGTACCCGTAAGAAAAATATTAAGAGATGAATCCAGCGGAGACTGACTTAGGATCACCCAGTGATAAAATTTCAAAAAATGAAAAAAACACATTAGAAGCTTGAGTACTTAAGTCTAGGCAATTTTTGGATTAAAAAATTGTCAAAAAGCAGAAAGTCATTTTTTAAAAAATAGTGCTTTATCACTGTGCCTGATAGACTGATGACATTTATTAATTTTTTGGCCTTTTTAATCTGAATAATGTAATACCATGGTCACGTGTCATGCTTCCAAACTTTGAACATGTCTTTTTAATCACTTACTGGTGTTAGGTGAGGTACAAACCTTTCAAAGAGGGGATCTAGGAAGACATGGCATGTTCTTTAAAATAGTTCCCAAATACTCTTACAAGAAGCACAAGAATCATCGCCATTACAAAGGCTGTTGGAAGAGGTATGGAAGCAAGTCTCGAAAGGCTAAGGCCCAGTCCATTCTGCCGTGCAACTCAGCTTGGCCGTTTAAGTCGAAGTTGGAAGACTTCAAGGTAAATGTTTTGCAGTTTAAGGTTACAGTTTCTACAGTTTGTTCCCCTCAACCATATTGCGCTTAGATATGTTGGTCGGTTGGCAACAAAAGTGAACAAAGCGGTCTTAATATAATTGAGGTACCAGCCTTACGATAATGAGCGATAAAAACAGATATGCTTGAATTAGCATTATAATTGAATGTGAGGTTCGACGCTTGATCCGCAACTACGACAACCTGAATATGAAAAACATGCAATGATAAAAAGTACTATATAGCTGGAATTGCAACTATGAGTTTTTTATTTTTCATTTGACAGTGCAAAAAAAAAGGAATTCCAAAACGAATCGTTCAATTTTGACCTGGTTGAAACTGTTCCGGACTAATTTAAGGTCGCTTTTAGGTCACTGGCGATCTGCACACAGCTAATACATCTTAGAGTGACATCCTGAAAGTCAACGCCAACATTTCAAATTACTTGCCTCATACAGCAGTATACGCTCTTGCTTTGAAACACTGAGGAAAGTCCAGTTCCTGCAAAACTTACAGTTTAGACTCACATCAAACACCGTTACTTGGCCTTATTTACTAAAATATCTTGCCTCTCTTCTTCTTTACCTAATTTTCCAGTACGTAGGAGATGCTACCATCGATGGCCAACTTTGCACTAAATGGGCTTATAACGTGACAGTGTTTGAACGTAACAATTCCTACGTATTTTACGCGACCAAGACAGTTCCACCCAAGCCAGTGTACTTTGAAATGAACGGCTACGACACTCTGTTAGTTTCCTATTACGACAAGTATGTTATCAAGTATCACAGCTTTGAGGAATGGGATTATGATCCTGATGATGACCCGGATGTTTTTGAAGTTCCACATCGTAAGTAATGGGAATGAGGCTAAGTTCCGGCCGGGCCTCCTCTCGGTTAAAAAGATGGTGACAATAGGCCACTTACATGATGACGTCATTTTGCTTCTACGACCAGAATCCTTCAGGGTTTTGCTTTCTTGTGCAAATAAGGGCTTTCGTTGTTTAAACCTCACTGGGAGTACAAAACTTAAAATATGAAAGACAACACGAAAAGGATTCTGGTCTTGATAGTAAAATGACGTCATCGAGCAAATGGCCCATTCAGTCTAATATTATACAGTGTTTTCACATGACGTCACATTCACCATATTAGAGAGTTTAAGCAACGATGATGGCGACGGCACCGAGAACGGCAAAAAGGCAATAGGTCAGATTAGCAAAACAACAACTTTGCACGTGCATCACGTTTTTTTTTTTTTTGTATTTTTTCTTAGCTGTCGTTGCACGACTACAACGTGAAAGCGCCTAATTTCACGTTTTGTTGAGAGCGGGAACACAAGACGACAACTTCCTTTTTCTTTTCCTGAAGTTTGATACAGTCCTTCAGAATTCAACTCCAAAAACATTTGCCCACATTTGACGAATTAAGCCAGATGGAATAAGCGCGATAAAGTTTGAAGCAGCGCAAATTCACTTTTTAAGTGATGTTTTCGTTGCCGTCGCCGTCATTGTTGCTTAAGCTCTCTATTGGTGTTCCAAAACTCAATTATAACGGCGGCCATAGTGATGTTCCAAAGCAGTCCTGTGGGAGCCTTTCTCTTATGTAATTAAATGTTCTTTTGTTCCAATAAATTTGCATAGCGGCTGGCAACGTCAGTAAAACGCTCCATTGCATTAGTTTTTAGCTTGTCGTATTTCAAACTCTCATGCTTTTTCTATCACTCACTAGCACTCACTTAAAACTTTTCCTCAACTCCATTTTGGATATGATATATATACCGAGAACACCTTAGGAAACTTCGTTATTGTTCTTGATTTTCACCTTAAGGTTTTTCTTTTTCATTTTAATATATATATGGCCAACAAATGAGGCAGACACTTAATGAGAATAATGGAATAAACCAATAGCTTAGATTCCGAATGAAGTCGGGTGGCCTTTACACAATCTTCCAACAGTCAGTTAAGCGAGAATAAGCTCTGAGTCTACAGGAAAAATTGTCAATGAAGGCCTTTTGTCAATCAGATATACTTTTGTGGATAATGGCAACTCGTTTGCCGTTAAACACCGACGTTGGTAAACACTCTTACTTCCACTTATTTATTCGTATCTAAGCTGATAATGAAAAACTCGTGACAAACAAAACTTTTATTGTTTTTCAAAGTGCATCATGACAAATGGTGCTGGAACATAGACAAGCGATCACGTGACAGCGATGGAGCTTCCACTTCCCTGAATCCCATGGGAGACTTCACTACGATTCATCACGAGGAAGACCCTGTAGATAAGGACTTCCATAAATTCCGAAGGAAACACAAAAAAGAATACACCGATAAAGTGGAGCACCAGAAAAGAAAACACATTTTTAGACATAATTTAAGGTATGTGAAATAGATATTGACCAAACAATGGCCACGTAAGAAGAATTTTTCACAAGAGCCTAGATTCTTGGTACTACATAACAACGACTTGCCAACCACCTGATAGGGTAAAGTGTGGCTTCGCAGGTTTGTTCTCCACATAAGTATCACAAAGGGGAAAAGCTAACTTCTGGTTGCTGATTCTTTCCTTCATTCTTATAAACTCGCTTTTTAGCTTCGGAAGGTCACTGCTAGGTTCGGTTAAAGGTTTAAGAAACCCCTGAAGAAATCCTTAGAATAGTTTCTCTAAGTAGAGTTCTGGCCCTAAGAATCGTCCAATGTCAAAAGGGAATCCAAGACAGCCGTGGATTCTGGATACCATGCCGTGGATTTCGGATTCCTGGTACTGGATTTCTCATTCTTTGTCGGTGAAACTTGGATTCCGGATTCCCTGAGCTGTTTCCGGATTCCAGAGCCCACGATTCCAGACTCCACAAGTCAAAATTTATCGGATTCCGGAAACGGGATTGCCTTTAATGGGAGACTAAGAAGGTAGATTTTTGGCTAACTTGGGCCCATTAATTTTTAATCGACTCACTATTTACTGTGAGCAACATGCGGATAATTTGCCTTTCGTTTCTCCTATTTCTTAGGTTTATTCGTTCAACGAACATGAAAGGAAATTTGTATCACCTAACTGTCAATCACTTTGCCGATATGACAGATTCTGAATTCCAAAGCCACAAAGGGCTTATGCCAGGGGATGGGGGCTATGGGTCACGTGACTTTGATGAGGATGATGACAAAGAAAATGAAGAGCCAGGAGATGGAGATAGTGGTGGTGATAACAGGAATGATGAGAAACGAAACAAAATAAAGAAATGCAGATACGGAAATGTTCCCGAGGAGCTAGATTGGAGAAAATATGGTAAGGGGAAGACGAAAGTTCCTCCGGATGAATATACGTTTCTCGGAAACTGCCCACCGTCCCCTCCCCTAAGCCAATATTTTGCCCTAAGTGAGAAGTAAATGTTAATGTTGGCTTAGAGGAGGGGTAGGTGGGCATTTTCCCAGAAACGTATAATAACCCTCGTTGTATGGTTTATGTCCTTAATAAATAGATTTAGCCAAGGCCAAAAGCGAAGCTCTCGTGGGAACTTTTAAGAAAAAGGATTTTTAAAGTAGGGTTTTCTGAGCAAGTGATCACTTGAATGCCATAACTGGTCAGCGGAGAACACTTAAAAACACGTAACCTCATTGGGTTTGCACCTGAGCCGCGATACAGGCAGGTGACACTGTTCAGCGGACACCCTAGTGGATCGTAACATGGATGTCCCATATCAAGTTAAACATAATAATAAGGCCATTTCCAAGTTCCCCCGGGTCTCTGTGTCAAAGCTAGGGTAAGTGCTCAGCCTTTGATATGGAAATGATTTTTTATTCTCATGCAAATAAAACTCATTTTCACAAGAAAGGTTGTGAACTTTATAGCCTCGTTTTGAAAGTGAGGGTTTTTGGAACTCGTAAGTGGCCTATTTGTATATGCCTTAGACTTTAAACATCCGCTTACATGACAAATATAGCATAGAACTGAAAATGGAGTAAGAGAAGATTAAAGCAAACTAGTCCCTATTCTTTGATTCTGCTTTCCGAGTAAAGGATACTTGCAATAACAATGAACATACTCAAGAACCGCTCGTGCAAAGAAAATTTCTGGACTCGCTTATGATCAATTAGTAAAAGCAGTTAGTAAATGAGGAAAAATTTCACAAAGGCGGTAGCCACCCATATCTGGAGCCTCACTTCTTTGTTATTGGCATAAAGGCGCAAAACTTCTTGTCCAGTAGAAAACCATCTTCTCAATTGAGTCTAAGGAGCACGGGGTTAAGAAATGAGAGCACAAAGACATTCAGAGGCAAACAGTGGAGTTTACCATCAATCATCAAAAGACTAAATTAACCATCAGCCGTCTAATGTCTTGTTTTCATCAACTGTCTCGAAGAAGTTTATGTGCAAGCATCCTATATCATTTCTTTTTTTTTTTCCAGAGGCAATTCGTACGCCACCCTTACACCAACTTGCATTTGCTATTCCTACCGGATTCTTTCAACAGAAGTAAATTTGTGGCCATTGGTTTCGTTCCGTTTTCGGAATTAATGTACTCTATCGTATATAAGTCCTTTGAAGTTTCCTCTCAAGAAATGTTCATGCAAGTGTATAAGTCTCTTCAATTTTTAAGGGAAAAAAAAGATTCGCTTGAGTGGAACTCGAACCCAAAACGTAGTGACTGCAGTTTACTGCCTAACCAAACTGACCAGTGAGGATTCGATGCTGATAAAGGGTTTGATTTGAAGTTGTATCTGCCCTAACCCTAAATAGAAACTAACCGTTTCGAGTCAATTCTTTAGCCTAATCACTATTCTCAGCAGGTCTTTATCCTAATCTGAGTGTGGTCTGACTCAGTGCTTAGCCCTGATAAGAGTTTACAGAACAATCCCGTATGAAAAGCAAATACAAGTCGGTGCACGAGTCCCGCGAGAAAAGCCGCTTTTTTAAGTGCTCATTTCTTCTCCCAGGCGCGGTATTTCCCGCAAAAGGCCAAGCAACATGTGGATCATGTTGGGCGTTTGCTGCAGCTGGAGCAGTAGAAGGAGCAAATTTTATTAAGGTATGTAGCAATATTAAAAATCAGTGCAGGTCGACAAAGTTGTATAATTATCAGGACTCCTAGTTTCATTAGGCAACTTAATATTGAATTCAAATTTCTTCAATGGTTCCTTTAAGAGGATAAAATTACCATTAGTGTTAAACACTGTTGTCAGTGGGGTCCTTTAAAAAATAAACAAGTTAGATAAAAACAAAAATAGGATACGATAGAAAGATGACTATATAGGATATTAAAATGCTAAAAGACTGGCAGAATCCTTCAGTTTGTTGTTTCCTTGTGCACACTAGGGCTATTTTTTGAAACCACATCGGGATTGATAAATTTGAACAAGAAAGCAAATACGAAATGAATTTTAGTAGTCGTAGACAAATGTCGTTGTCAAATTAAATGTCCTCGCTCTCCAAGTCACGATTTTACCTTGCATGGCATAAAGGATGAAACTGAATCCAAATTTAGTGCACAAAAAGACCTCATCGTCCTGACATTTTAAAGTATAATTATTATTTCAGTAAGTTACATGATGAGCCACGTGACTATTTTTCTAAAATCTGTCAAAGCGAAGCTAAGTGCTACGCTATTGATATGAAATTGACTTTTTATTCTCGTGTAAATAAAAGTCATTTTCAAAAGAAAGATTTTGCGCGTGAAAAGCGAGGGATTTTGGAACTCGGAAATGGCCAATTGACGAATTGGTAACCGGGTTTATGGAATAAATTTCCAATTATAAACATTTTTTGTGATTAATATTAAATACTTCGCCGAACTCTTTATTTAATCGTATAAGTAAATTCTTCACCAATTCTCCACTACCCTTCATTTTAAATTTTTGTTTACATGACGTATTTGCCTGTGTGATTTCTTGTTTTAGACTGGCAAACTAGTGGATTTATCGGAACAGCAACTCCTGGACTGTACTTGGGAAACACCGGGAGTTAAACATGGAAATAATGGATGCCTTGGAGGATGGACATGGAAAGCTTTTGCTTGGATTCACAAGTTTGGAATTGCTACTGCTAAAAGTTACGGACACTACAGGGGACAGGTTAGCTTGCTCTGTTACTCCTCAGGGAAAGTAATAGTAGACCTTTAGTCTTTTGTAATGGTCACTACAGGGGACAGGTTAGCGTGGTCGGTTACTCCTCAGGGGTAGTGGCAGTAGACCTTAAGTCTCTTGTTATGGTCCCTACAGGGAACAGATTAGCTTACTCTGTTACTCCTCAGGGGTAGTGGCAGTAGACCTTCAGTCTCTTGTTATGGTCACTACAGGGGACAGGTTAGCTTGGTCTGTTACCTTTCAGGGGTAGTGGCAGTAGACGTTTGGTTTCTTGTTACAGGCACTACAGGAGACAGGTCAGCTTGTTTTGTTAATCCTCAGGGGTAGTGGCTGTAGACCTTTAGTCTTCTTGTTACGGACTCTACGGGGGACAGATTAGCTTACCCTGCATGTTACATCTCAGGGGTAGTGGCAGTGAGACCTTAAAGGGACAGTGTCCCGATTGCGCGCACGCGCGAGGGTCATCTGTTTTTTCTTCAAAAGACAATAGAACTGTCATATTGACTCGACAAGATTTCCTTCCGGATCGCACCGCCGACGGAGATTTGTTGTTTACATTCTCAAGTAATATGTTAGACTTTCGAAGAAGTGTTTCGTCTTATTTAAAATTTGGCCCGCGGCACGAAGATTCATCGCGATTTTGTCGCTACTAGGGCCACCTCGCGACCCAAATATCTCGTTCCCCTCGCTTTAAAAACGTGAAACTCGTGTCAGAGGTCAATTGTTCCAAGTCCAGTAATATTTGCCAGATTTGCTCGCGTTCTAGCCTCAAACGTTTGAAAGATATAAATAAAAATGCAATCTCAACGCAATGAATTATCGCAAAGGTTAGACAAAAATTATATTATGATTTCATTGCACTAGTTTTTCTAAACATGTAGCGGCTGTTTGTTTGATTTTTTCGGCCGTAGGGAGGTTCATTTAAAAGTTTACTAACGCGTCGTTGCAAAACATTCTGCTTCACGAAGCTTAATTCCACAAAATCTCCTTAGTCACATCCATGTCTCAAATTACGGTCAAATTGTTTCTTTCTTACAGTCTCTATTGTTGCTGTTTCATTTCTGCGTATTCCTTTCACAATTATCTGAGCTTGTATCAGGAAGCTGGCAGAAGAAATAAGCCCTCAATCGGCATAAAAGCGCTTCCCATCTTTTGGTCCTCCGGCCAACGGCAATAAAAGTAACAGGTTCTGGAAGGGTATTTTCGGGATTCGGGATTTGACCAAAATACGGTGCGGGAATCGGGAAAACGATAAATATATTGACGGGATCCGGGATTTGACTGTTCCCCGGAAAGCGGGATTTATCAGTTTGCGTGTCTGTCGGGAATGCCGGAAACCTTTAAAAACACGCGTAAATTCAAAATATCAATCGAAAGGATCAACCTACATCTTACATTTATTAGCTTTTGTAGAAATTAGACTTTTTAATGTATTTTTCTGAGAAAGCAAAGTGGTATTCGGGAAACTGATGAAAAACGTGGGGGATGCGGGGTTCTCGCGAAAAAGGGGCGGGAATGCGGGATCAGGACTCCCCCTTCCAGACCCTGAAGTAACGCCAAAAAATTCCGATTTCGCCCAAATCGAAACTCAACAGGAACAATATATCATTGATCTGTAATCCTGAGAAGGTTTAGTGTGGTATCGAACTCGGCCAAGCGCGATGCAAACGGATTTTTCAAGGTTCTCTTACTCTCCTCGCATCTTTTGATTTCGCGACATCCTGTCCAGAAATCAAAGTTTGGAGCATGGGCAGTACTGGGATACTGTTCCTTTAAGTCTCTTGCAGACAAAGAACAACAGATCCCCGTTTGACTAGGTAGAGGAAGGATGTGATATAAAAAACGCAATACTGAAAAGGCTTTAAACCACTTCTGAGGCTGATATTTGTGTGCTCCTTGTTTGCCTTATAGGAAGGTTATTGCAAGACTAAAGGACTGAAAACCGGAGCAACAATCACCAGTTACAGAAGAGTAAAGCGTTACAACAGAGAAGCGTTGAAGAAAGCTGTAGCTTACCATGGCCCAGCAACAATATCAATCAACGCCAATCCTAAAACATTAAAATTCTACAGCCACGGCATCTTAGATGATATAACCTGCAGTGAGTGACATTTTTTGTGGATACTATTTTTCACTCATGTCTCTATAATCTCCTTTCCCACATAACGTAAACTACCGATTATTAGCCCTGGGCTTAAACAACTTCGCAACTTCGTAAGGGCTAATAAACGGGGGCGGGCTTATATTCTGAGGACTTATAATTGGAATAAAAAGGTGTTTCAAAACAAGCTACTACATAGCAGTGCTGATCAAAATACTTTTTGAATATGACCGCTTTTTTAAGCTTCAAACGTCGTAAAAAGTCGATATCATTTCAATATACAAGCTCAGGGGTGCATATATTCGGGGGTGGGGGGGGAGGAGGTTTATAGCCGGATGTATTTTTTGTTTACTGGAAGATGGGTCTATAAATGTGAGGGGCTTGTAATCGGTGGGTCAAGGCGGGTACAGAGACACTCAGTCGCCGGTATTCAGCGCAGCCAATGATTCACGGGGAAAAAGAAAATCTCAACTCTTTTGCCCGTCAGAGGTAATTCGTGAGTCCAAAATACTAAAATTCAATAGCAAATGTAGAAAGAATCCACTCTCCGAATGGATTCATCAAATCAAATCAAAATACGGATTTAAAGGATTGATTCATTGCCCGTGTGGTCTTCGTTGGGTATGCCATCCGACAATTGTACTCCTGTCAGGCGGTTCCCTGCTGAGAACATAAAATAAATAACTCCATAGACCTGACAAAGCGGGTAAACAAGATGCGTATTCATGACGTTATTGGTGTTTATGTATCCTACACAAATAAATACGATACTTAATCAATGAAGGGTCTAACTGATCTGCCTCATATTACTAAGGCCATCACCCCTCCGGGGCGGATTTGGGTCAATATTGCTTTTTATATTTCCGTTCGTAATAACAAATCAAGAAAATCTTAGATCAAAAATCTAATTCTAAAAAACTTACCCATAGTCAGGATTTAGCACAAGATAACCTGGTTCCGTATTTTCCCTTTCAGATAATAACACCGACCACGCTGTCCTCCTTATTGGATATGGAAAGGAAAATGGAGTTTCTTATTGGCTGATAAAAAACTCTTGGTCCAGCAACTGGGGAGATCATGGATTTATAAAAATCAGGCACGGACTTTGTGGGGTAGAAAAGAGACCATTTGTTGTTCTCAACAAGGGTCGAAAAACGTTACCATGGCAACAAGAATTAAAGGAGAAACGAAAACAGAGAGAGTTGCGTAGAGCCAAATTACCCGAACAATTAAAATCAGAATCAACAAAACACGAGGAAACTTATCGGAGTAAAATAGTGAGAAAAGATGCTATAGAGGATCCAGCTGACTTCAGCGACATTGAAGACGACTTTGATGAGTATCTGGATGACGAGGACAGATGGTGATGAATAACTGAAATACAAATTATGCATCACAAACCATTACTTGGGAGAGCACATTTCGGAGTACATATTTAAAGCCAACGAAGATACGATATCTATCGACAAAGGAAGCTAGGAGCGAGTCAACTTCGTAATAAGGTTTTTGCAGGATTTTTGTAAGGCAAATGGCTAACGGCAGAGATGACCACGTGAGCATTTTCCCGCCGTTTACTACGTTTGCTGTGTGCTGTTGTTCGTTGGTTTTTTCGACATGAACTTTTACGATTTTATCGTTGTCAGATTCATAAACAGGTCGTATGCCCATTTCGTCGCTTGTCTAAAAACTGATGCTTGTTACCTCTGATACAGAAAAAAGACATGTTTTTTTATTATTGTTCAGATAAACAGAACCGACGGTTTCACTTCTCTCCTCCGCAGAGGCTCAAACGGGGCATTTGGTGAGTGCGGGCGCGAAAGTTGTTTGGTAAGCGGAAGAACCTTTCAGTTTTCGCCCCTGCACTTACTTTGTGCAGCGGAAATCCAATAACGCTTCATGGAGCCTCTGCGAAAGAGAGATGGCCTTGTCGGAGAGTAGCTAGCTAGTGGCTTGTTGTAACCAGAGGCTGTATAACACAGTCAAAATACTTGATGACAATTTAGTTTTGATATGAAATTAGCAGCTTAGTTGTGAAAAATAAACAAGCTCCGTTCTTTCTTGCGGTTTGCTCTCCCAGTATAATGTTCGCAAACTACCCCTGCTGGAGGTCACAGTTGAGCTATTTAAACCCACGATGGTTTACAGAATGAGGCCCTATTGTGCTTAAATTCCGATCAGCGACAGACCCTCAGACAGCAACATAAGAAAGGTGAAGTGGCAACAAACGACACAAAGATGGGTAGAAACTGTGACAGTGACCCAAAATGGCTAAAAGCGAAGCATCCCTAATTAATTACCTAAAACCGAAAATTTTTCACTTAACTGATTTTAAAACAAAAAGGGAAAATTATAAATCAAGTTGGTTCACAGTAATAGTCTGGGGGAAAAAATTCTTACCTATAGGTCTGCATCACTGCATTTTGGCGAAGCTTTCCTCAACCCAAATTAAACTAAATAAACAAACCAGCTTTGAATAACAGAAGAATCTTGATAGCAGCAGTATTTCATTTTGTGGCGGCAGTGGAAGATTTTTCCTGTAGTCCACCGTAAGAGCCTGCATGAACAGTCACACACGCAGCCATCAATGAATCCCTTTGCAACACTTCCTCCACGCAACACTAAATAAACAATTCAGTTAAAAAAAGAACAAAAGAACAGAAAGATAAAGTTGACAGCAGTTGTGTTCCATTTTTTGGCAACAGTACAAAAACAATAATTTAAAAACATAACTCTGAAATGAAAAATAGGCTTCAGCTGGTCAAAATTTTGACCAGCACTAAGTTGTTTCTGAAGTATGACCAAAAGCGTGACCAAGCAAAATGCAAAGCTTTAGAAATTTAATTCTGAATGTTTTGTCCTAAGTCGAAAACAGGAAACTTCAATCTTGGTTGCCCCTAAAATGGTTAATTTTGCGCCAAACGACAATATTTGGACTCCCTTCCCTACCCTACTGAGTTTTTTTTAACCCCTAGCCCCAGAGAGTTGACGGGCGGAGGGGCGTACGCTGAAGTTATAACCAAATGTCATCCGCCAAAAAAGTAACAATGATCACCTCCACCCACAATTTACCATTATCGTCTTTAAGATAATGTTCTTCATTTTCTGTTGTCTACAATCAACAAACTCGACCGCGGTTTCTTATATTGGCAGATATCAGTTTGCCCCCTGAGAAACCACGTGACATCGCGCGCCTTAATCCCATCAGTCCTTAAGCGCCTGCAAAAGTAGCAGTAACCGTAAATAACGTCTACTAGGCTTAGGCCAAACGTCAAACTTTTCACGAGCCAAACCAGACTTAGCGAGTTAAGTCCATGAAAAGTTCGACGTCTGGGCTCAGTTAAGTTTGTCTGAATGAGTTTGGATTGGACTTCTCGTATTTCGAGTAACTTTTTGCATTCTGAGCAATTTCTCTAGTTTTCTAGCAATTCTGAGATATTGGAACAGCCTTAAATGCTTAAAAATGTTTTAGTAGACAATTTATGAATTTCCTGTGAAAAAGGAGCCAGCTCCTCCTCCCTGGGGCAGATCATGACGGCAAGATGCATGTAGCCGGGCTGCTAGGTCAGCGGTTTTTAAAAGAAAATTGAAAATGGCGGACGAAGCCAGTCTCAGGTGAAGAAGGTCATTCAACAATTTAATTGGTTCATACTATAAGTTTTACAAGATTTATTTCGATATTGACAAAAGCCCATGACTATGAGGCCATGGGCTCTGATAAACTGATGCTTAGTCTTTACTCATAAATTTTTAGTTTTAATTGAGGACAAAGTTATTTAGCAACGCCGCAAAATTGTACAAATATGATTAGAAATTTCTTATTTTTTTACGATTTGCATAATTTATTTTTACTTCAGATCAAATAAAGGAAAAGGGTAACAAAAAGTTGTTGTTTTTTTCGCAGCTTTTAAGCAACTTTTGTCACAAACAGCAACTTTTGCCTTTTTTGAGCAACTTTTAACCAACTTTTTGAGAAATTATGGGAAACTTTTTCAGAAATCTCTAGCAACTTGTGGAAAGCCCTAGTTTGGATCGTCCAACACGTTCTATCCGTCTGCTTCAGACGGATAGAACGTGTGAAGATCGTCTCTGGGACAAACGTCCATCTTCACTTGCGGCGAACTAAACAAATAAATTAAACATTTGTATGACAATGTATATTTACCCTCGTTCGGGGGAAAATTTGTTAAAATTACTTTTTGGTTTGATTCAGTTGATTGGCTCGACGCGTCCTTAATTCGATGTCTGACCCAAAAGACGATCTTAACTTAACTCAAATTAGAAGAGTTTGTTTCGTCTCATGAAGTTTGACGTTTGGGTGTCGACTTGAGTCGTCTCCATTCTGCTTTCGGCTCTCCAAGTTATTCCCTGTCAACTTCAGGTTTTGTTTGGTTCATTTGTTCTTCTGCATCTTCTGGTCTGTATCAATGAGCTAAGAGAACAGCATATTGTTCCTGTTTGACCCCGCGGCACTTAACTTCATAACTTCACCGCTCGTCTACCCTTGAGTTTCCAGCGTGCAATCTCCTAAAATAATAGGTTTCAGCTTGAAAAATAAAAAATACAAATGCTGACTTCACATTCTGATTCACAGCCCATATAACACATCAATGTATTTACATCCCTTGATCTTCCGCTATTTTGGGGACCATTTTTCAAACCAAGAGAGTTACGATTTTCAGTTTCGGCATAAAGCTATAACGATGTGAGCTTCTCGTTTTGCCTTAGGAGACTTAAACGGCCCCATAAAACTATAGACGATTCCCTGTTATCCTTAGTCCTTTGAACGAAAACAAATCTTAGTTAGAAGTTTCCTTTAAATTCCGGTGAGTCCAAAACTTCAATGTCAAACCCGCAGGTTGTAATCAAACGAGCTGATCATATGTTATGAACCAAATGCCTGACAAAAGGCTCCTTGTGTTTCTGATTTTCTCCCCGATCTGCAACTGGTACCTGTTCTTAGGAGTTAAATTCCAGCAGCAGGTTCCTTACAAATCCTGCCCTATATTCCCACCAAACGAATAATCGGTCTTGATAAAAATACATGGACACTTGTCTATGATATTATGGCAATTAAGCAACACATAAATGGATTTTTCACGCCGGCAGTGGTAACAACTAGAAATTCTTACTTCAAGTAAAAATTTGTCGTCAAACTTGAATGAATTGACAAGTCTGATACAGGTCATTATGCTTAACGGAACTTTGATGCCTCGTAGATGGTGTCGATCAAAAACATTTTTATGTCGGATCCTTTATGCCGTATTCGTCTGCATAGTACACCTTCGTACTTGTAACGGACAAAATTATTTCTTTGAGGAAATCAAAGAGGTGAATAATAACCTTGAGGTGGAACCAAAAACGACAGGGGGCCTGGATTACAGAGGCCACGACGAGCCACACATAACTTTCGAGAACGCAACTCTTCAACAGAAAGATGAGCATCATGAATCTGTCATGGAAAAGATCAAATTTCCAGAGATTTATCACGCGCAGGGGATCATATCATTACCTTACGATGGTATCATTGAACCGTTTGAAACATGGTATGCTGGAAAACACAGAATGAGTCGAATTGACTACTATTACGGTAATCCACAGTGTGTTCTTACAATGTTTGTGTCATTGCAGCTGGTAATGCATTGTCTACCTGCTTTCCTTATTTACTTATGTTGTTTCACGGCTTATAGCAGAAAACCCCAAAAAAGCTACTGGGAAAAATCTTATTGTTTTATAATGCAAGGTCAACGCAGTTCTATATAAAGAGGAAACGAATTGAAAGGGGAGAAAAAAAGGGCCGTTTCGAAGTAGAAGAGTTTATGAATGGTTAGAATAATTAAAAAGGAAAAGGAAAGTTAGGTGGTGCAGATAATAACAAGTCGATATCTCAAAACCTCAGGCCGTAAACAAAAGGTGGGGATGGTGGGGTATGTTTCAGCCTTTTAATTAAAGCCTTGATTCTTAGACAGTTTATGACACTCTCTCTATCTAAGAATCATTGGTACCCCATTTCAGCCTTCCATAATGACTCGCCCTAACATGGCGTGTAGTAAGAGAAACTCGGATTAAGCCACGCAAATTTAGGAGAAAAATATATTTTTCAAATCGGCACTGTTAATCGCTATGGAATTAACGAACGCTTTTCGTTCAACTAATTTAATCTTGTTGTCATATTACTCCTTGTTCCTGACAATATCACTGCTCCAGCATTCGATATACGGACAATCTGTTCATTTGCGCACACTGACGAACGCCCAGCGATCAACACATCACTGAGTTTTTGCTATCTTTACACGGGCAAATTGACCTCATCAACTTAGTTGATTAAACTAAAATTAAAGTCTTATAATATAGGGTCCTAGTCTGATCCTCTATCGGTTGATAATACTCCCTCCATCTTAAAATCAGACTGTTAAAGCATGCTTAACGCTAAATCTACAGACTTACCACGATATACTTAGTTCTAGGTTATTGGTAATTTCGCGTTGCTACCGTTATTATCTTCTGACCTATATAAATAGTTGCTGCTAAACAGGTTTTGAAAATTTTTCCAATCGCTAGCTTGATCACTATAGAGACTGCATTTTGTAGACCGAGTTGCATATGGTAGATCGAAATTTCCTATGATCGTACGTAGTCTCCTACGTCACGCCGCGCCACACCAAGCTACACCCCACAAACATCCAGCCGTTTGTGAGGAGGAGCGTTAAGTGACGACACAAGGAGACTACTTACTCTCTATTGCTGTTCGTGCTGACTCTGAAAATTGAGTACCAACTTGGCCCAAAATTGTGCGTTGTAGCTGCTTTAGACAAAGCTTTCTTAAAATGTTGGAGTTTCGTTCTGTAGGTATGGACAAGACCATTCAAAGAGGGGACCTTAAACCATACGGGGCTCTTATAAAGTTTGTGCCTGCTCATTGGGGTAAAGGAAAGGACTTGGACAGAAACACACGGAGCTGTTGGTATAGGCCTGGATTCCGATGGTCCCCAGAAAAGGCGCAGAGTATTGTGCCCCAAAACTTGAAAGGATTCAAGGTAAACTTTTAGACCTGAAACGCGTGGCAGCGGTGCTGATAGGTGATTCAGCAAGTGTTGCCTCCCGAGACATGTGGTCAAGGACAGTTATATTACTCTCTCTGCATGACCGCGTTATACTAGGCAACGCTCGCTGAAACGTTTTACCAACGCAAGATGAATTTCAGCTGATACTACAGTGTAGAACAGTGCCTTTAAAATGATAAGTCCAATAATTCTGATGCACAAATACCAAATCCATCACTCTAAATGTTCGGCATATTTTTTTGTCTAGTATCTTGGTGAAGAGTATCACAGTGGAATGCCTGTTCACAAGTTACAGCGGACAGCGACTGTGTTCAAGAAGAAGAACACTTACACACTTTACGTCACGAGGGAGAAGCCTTACAGACCTGTACGTTACATCATGCACGGATATGATACCCTGTTACACTCGTTTTACGATCATTACATCGTGGACTACTTGTCATTCCGTGAATGGGAGTTTGATTTTGATGTTATGAAAATACCAAAAGGTACGAAAGAAGTAAAACTGCTAAAGAATCATTGTTCTTATTCGAAGGGGACAGAATGCAACTTTTTGTTGATGGAAATATCTGTAACTGTATGACGTGACTGTTCATCAGTAGCTATAGGATGCCTAACGTGCATGTATTAATCACTTAACATCATGTGAAAATGTCAGGAAAAGTGATCCTTTTCGCAAAAGCCCCACCTATTCAAACGTCTTTTTTGGCAATCATAAGCCTATCTATATCTAGCATATGCCAGTGTGTAGAGTGGTCTCTATAATAAATCAATCCCGTTTGGATCAGTACCATGCTAAAGAGAGGTGACCGCCATATAGAGGTACTCCATTAGAAGAGAGTTGATGGTAGTCAAGATTGCTCTCACTCTACCAAGATAGTACTTTGAATTCTCATCATTCTAGACGTGAAGCTATCTTAGTTATTAGAAATAATTTACAGAGGTATTCTGTTGGGTTTTGGAAATAATTCCAAGACTGCTTTGGCTTAATGTCATCTTGTTGTGTGATTGGTTACAAATTTGTGAAACCATTTTATTTACCGGGCAGCTTCAAAAATAGATTGGACAAACTTTTATGGCCAAACTCAATTTTATATTACTTTAAAAAGGAATGTGTACCAAAAATGCAATTGATACCAAGTCAAATTTGCAACAATTGCATAGATTTTTCACTGTCTCTTCAATGAAAATCAAAAAGATAGTACTTTGAATTCTCATCATTCTAGAGGTGAAGCTATCTTAGTTATTAGAAATAATTTACAGAGGTATGTATTTTGTTGGGTTTTGGAAATAATTCCAAGACTGCTTTGGTTCAATATCATCTTGCTTTGTGATTGGTTACAATTTGGTGGAACCATTTTATTTACCGGGCGGCTTCAAAAATAGATTGGACAAACTTTTATGGCCAATCTCAATTTTATATTGTTTTAAAAAGGAATGTGTACCAAAAATGCAATTGATACCAAGTTCAAATTTGCAACAATTGCATAGATATTTCATTGTCTCTTCAAGGAAAATCTAGCTGCCTGAAAGAGCTTGATAAGATGAAGTCTAGGTACCACTTTAATCCAATGGGAGAGTTTATGCATGAAAACTTTGAGGATGTTGAAGTGGATGAAATGTTCGACGAATTCAAGAAGCGTCACAGTAAATCTTATCAAGATCCAGCCGAGCACGAACAGCGAAAACACATATTTCGTCATAACATGAGGTAAGGGGAATCTGCACCTGTAATGATCATGATAAAATGCTTTGTATGAAAAATCCTTCAACGGAGAAATAGACTGGTCTTAAGTAACCAACGACGCGAAAGAGTAATTTTACATTGTCTTAAAAACGCATGAACTTTAATTGTATGCCTTTTTTCATCGCGAAGAGAGGTTTATAAATTTGTCGCGCGTTGATCGCTTAGCGATTTGAAATTTCGCGCTATTAAACATTGATATTCGCGAGGTTTCGCAAAATTCTTATTACTGGAAAATCATAGAAGAACATTTCCCAGCCGGCTTTACTGTGAAGACTGTTGTCGCCAGCTCAAATAGGTTTGCCATGGTGGGGCAGGTATTTTGTTGGGGTTGACCTTTTCGGCTAAGGGATCAAGAATGTCCTTGTAAAGAGCAAAGTGATGGTCTACTTAATAATGGCTATTGACAGATCAATGAATGCGAAAAACGAGTTAAAAACGCAACAACGTAACGGGAAAAGATTTTCCACAGCTAAACGGAGATAATTTTTTAACCTTCCAGATTTATAAACTCGAAAAATAGAGCAGCACTCAATTTCACGCTGAAGCCGAATGAGCTCAGTGACGTCACCGACGACGAGTTTGAACTGTACAAAGGCTTACTAATTGACCCCAGTGGAGGAGACGAGGCGCTCAAGAAACAAGAAATACCTCAAGCTCGATTCAAAATACCTCGGTCTGCTCTCCCTGATTCCTTGGATTGGCGTGAATATGGTGGGTTTCAAACCAGGAATAATTGTCAAGTGACTTAACAATTGTTCCTTCTAGTGCCTGCGTTGCCGGATACAAAGTGCCAACGAGGCGTGAAGCACCGCGGAGAGCTATAACCAATCGCTATTGTGCAGGTTCTATTCCAGCTGTCAATCGGCCCGAATTCGCCCTCATTTGGCACATGAGTTCCCAACTCATGAATTATTCATACAGCCAACAGCCAATAAATGACGGCCCCGTGCTGTCATCTGTTTCTAGGTGTTTGGAAACCGTGTCGAGGCACTCGTCCTCGTTTTTTTTTTTTTTTTTTTTACATATTACGTCAAACGTTGGTATAATGGCCTGTAACCGAGATCCTGGGAACCAAATGAGAACTGAGCTAAAACTGCATCATCCAAAGTTGCGATTTTTGAAATAACATTATTTCGTCTCGCCTTTCACTGTTTTGCGCCGCTCCCTGTGCACTTTCTGAACGCCTGAAACAGGCCAACATTGGCACGGTTTCATCCTACTGGCATCTTTGCTATGAATTCTTAGCAACATTAATGAGCCGTATATTATTAAAACTGATGAAAGTTCAATGTTTCGAAGGTAGAGTGCACTGGTGCTACGTTGTCAAATTACACGACTGTGCATTCCTATTTTAGGTGTCGTTACTCCATCTAAAGCTCAGGGACTTTGTGGATCTTGTTGGACATTTTCTTCTACTGGACCAATAGAGGGAGCCTACGCTATTCAGGTCACTAAAGTATACTTAGTTTAAACTTTAGCTAACTTTAAAACCTTAATTATATTATTAATTAGGAAGACTCTACATATTCCTCCATGAATCGTCTAGGAACGCCGCAATGCATGGGAAGGGGGAATTGCAGAAGGAAGCCAAATTTCAATCTCGATCTCAGACGTCCTCTAACCAAAACAATATTTTTTTCAAAATAAATAATTTGCAGAAACACCTAACAGCACCTCCATACACCCACCCATAGGACTGAATTCAACTTTATCTAAATCAATTAATGCATGTCTTGGTCTGCTCGGAAGGTACGCTTCTTTGACTATCACACACTTCTATCAAAAACCATTGATGCCTGTCCTCGGCACAAACTTTAATTTGTAATTAACTTGAGCTGTAATATAAATGAAGAATAAATGAACTGAAATGAGCTGATCGGTGCAGCCATACTGAACCGCCATTCCTTGCCTGTCGATGATTTCAAGGCAGCCAAGTCGCTGGTCTAAAACAATACAATTTCCAACACAAAAGATTTTCCCAACAACAACAAAATTGATACAAAAGCTACAATAGTAAGAGATTATTATCGAGTTTGCGTGTGATCAATCACTGGCTTACGTATATAGCTGATCCAGTAAAGGATGCTTTGGGCAATGGGAATTGGGCATTTGGGCATACTAAAATGACTGCTATTGTTTGCTTCAGTGACCACCAAACATAGCTTTCCAGTGCCAGATTCCCAATGCCCAAAGCGACCTTTTTTGAATCACCATTATGATGGTTCCTCTTTAGACAGGGAAACTGATAGACATTTCAGAGCAACAGCTGATGGACTGTAGCTGGGGATTTGGTAACAGTGGCTGTCGAGGCGGCTTCTCTTGGAGGGCACTGGTGTGGGCTAAGAAACACGGAGTGGCGTCCAGTAAAAGTTATGGAAGATATCTTGCTCAGGTCTGATAATAGAACATGATAACAACGTAACGTTGAAATTTTGAAGTTATCCAGCACCATTTAACAAGGTGTTCAATAAGATGATTCAATTGAACATGATGCATCAACGCGAACTAACAATGTTGGAACATCTGCTGGAACATCTGTTCAGTTTGAACGGAATGTTTAGTTTGTTTAGACAAACGATACGGGATATGCCGCATGCAAACTGCAATCCCATCCCAGAAACTCTGTGTTCCCCGAGGCGAAGCAGCTTTTCGGCCAAGGCTGCGATAATAATTATTTGCTTGACTCTACTGGTACATGGCTTTCCCGGGTTTCAAGGTACAAAACCTGATTTGTTATGAGTCTGTCCCCCTAGGGCCATGGTTTTGACACATGGCAAGTGACGCGTTCTCATCAAATAGCATCGTGCCATTGAATCAAAATGCAGGAAAATATATAGAGGGCTGATAGAGCACTCTGAGGAGAATAGGTACAACTCCGAAACGGCCTCGAAATGGCTCCAGAAGCTAAAATCATTAACAGACACAACTAAGGCATGGCTCCTCGCTCTAGTATTTTGGTCTTCTTTCATTTTTTTCTTTTTTTGTCTGCCATCTCTTTTCATTTCATTATTTAAACACATATGCTTAAGATTGGAACCATTTTTGGAGCTCACACTGTGCCACTTAAGGTCACGTGAACAGCCACGCCTATAATTATGCAAAATTAAATATTTTCAGATTACGCCATGAAAATGACTGTTGAAGCTTCCGTTTATTTTTCCATGGTGTTAAGTTTAAAGTCAAATGAGTCAAATTAAACGGTGAATTGCAAAATATTTTATTCCTATGTAATTATCAAATGTTTTCTCCTCGACTCAGTCCCACTCCCACGTTATAGTTCACTCAAAACAAATAATTTCGAAAAACCCCGATTAATTCCATAAACCTTGTGTTAATAGTCATTGAAAATAACCAAAATAAATCACAACTAGTATCTGTAAAATGTTGTAAAATTGGACCCAACTAAATGGCAAAAAATGGGCGTGACAAGTCACGTGACTAAGTTAGCTTATTAGTGACAACGGATAAGAACATTTTTAAAAAGTATTTACCGCATGCAAAGTTTCAAGTCGAAAAGTTAAATCTCTTTTAAACTAGACCACCCCCTCACAAATTTCTAGAGACCTATTCCTTAAATCACCCGAGTCTGGAGTTCAATTTTAAATATGGATTCATGACAGAGTATCACATTTTAAATATACATGATTTATCACACGCAGGAGGGATACTGCCATTGTGGACAAGAAGACGGCTGTGACGTCGTAAAATTCAGTCGTTTGGTGACCGTGAAGAAAAATGATGAGCAGGCACTGAAGCAAGGCCTGGCAAAATTTGGTCCAGCATCCATTTCCATCAATGTTGGTAGGAAGTCTCTGAAGTTTTACAGCTCTGGCGTTTACGATGATACAGAATGTAGTAAGTACATGTAACAATTGTAAATCACGTGCATTACACTTTTTCTGTACATTTCTTTGCCGTCATTGAACGACCAAAGCGTCAAAATGCCTAATTTCACGTTTTGTGGAGAACGAGAACACAAGACAAGGACTTTCTTTCTCTTTACCTGATCTTCGATACATCGTCTTCTAGAATTCAACTCCAGAGAAAAAAATAATAAGCGCGCTTAAGTTTGAAGCAGTGTTAATTTATTTTTAAGTGACGTTTTCGTAGCCGTCGCCGTCCGATAGTAGGGACCTTACGAAACTACGACGGCGACGGCATCGGCCACCACAAAAAAGCAATACGTTTAATGAGCAATGCAAAACAACAACTTTGCACGCGTATCACAATTTTTGGTCAATTTCTTTGCCGTCCCTACAAAACTACTACGTGAAATGGCCAAATTTTAAGTTTACCTAAGAACGGTAGCGGCAAGGCGATAAATTCTACCATCTCTGTCTGAACTCGGGCGCGGGTCTCCTCTCTTCACTTCCCACCTAAATTCCCTCTTTTAAGTAAAAGGGCGACTTGGGATAATCGCGAAATTGTTTCAAAGGATGCGAAGTCTATTTTTCGGCCACGTTTTCATGGACATCGCCGTTTTCGGATCGTAAGTTGCATAGCTATGGCATGGCCAAGTACAACCTCAAGCTCTATGTGTTAATTATGTTGAACTCAAGTTAAATCCATTTATGATGTCTACGTACGAAAGTGAAATTTTTGATGGTTGTCTTTTCCACTCGACTTGCTTAAAGAGGAAATGACGAAAATTCCCTTGCTGATACGGGACGAAACAATCTTTTAAGTCAGAAGCTTTTTCTCTGAGTGATTCTAAACAAAAACATGCTTCCTCAAAAGAGCTGGAGTTTTTTTTTTATGTGCTACCTCTAGCGCCTCTCTTCTATCCTGTTTTCAATACAATTCCGATTTGTTCGGAGCCTCTTTATTAAAACGAAGACCTGGAGCACAACTGTTCATTTGAAAATATATTCAATTTGTGGTGAATGATAACGACCACAAGACCTCACTTTGAAAAAGCAGCTTAAAATAACTGATTCGGTACAACGCTTGTGCAAAGTAACAGTAAGTGAGTTTTGTTTCTCTCCTCCAGGCCCACAAACAAATCATGGAGTTGTTGTGGTTGGATTTGGCGAAGAAAATGGCACTCCGTATTGGATAGTAAAGAACTCTTGGGGAAAATTCTGGGGCGAAGAAGGTTTTGTGAAAATTGCAAGAAAGGACAACTTGTGCGGAGTACTATCGAATGAACCTATTTTTGTTTCTTTGAACGCTACGGAAATTGATGACGCGAGTGAGGATTATCCTTTCAGGAGAATGACGAAACAGAGCTTCGTTGATGTTGAAAGAAGACTTAACGTAACAAACCTTAAGCTTTCGCCATTTGACTACAAGAGGTCGAAAATTCGATTTGATGAGCTCAACAAAAGAACACCTATAAGCCCGCGTTAGTTTTAAAAATTCAATTTTATACACGATTCTAGTTATAGGTGCTATGTGTTTTATATTATGAAGTACATTTTCCCTCGTTTTGCGCTAAAATAGCTTCTTAATGACTTCACCTGACTAAAACCATTTCTCCACTTATCTCTTCTATAGAATACAGAAGAATTCGAACCCTAATAGTCCTTTATTCTCTTATATTCAAGCTTATCAGCCCTCAACAGATTTTTCAATCAAAATGAGGTTTGACAATCAGTGAACGAATAGAAAATAGTGAATGATAAAGGATGAAAAACGTCTATTTTTGAGCTTACATTACGTTTGTTGTTAGGACAGCAGTTTTTCGACTTAGCGATTAGGACAATAAGTTTTTTTCTTACGGTGTTATTGAGAGAGGGCTCTTAACACCCACTAAAACATGTTTGCAAACATGTATAGGAGAGTATAAGAGTAATAACTTTTATTTTTCTTGCTTTCTTTTTCGAAACGCGGATCCTTGCTTTCAGTAGATATATATGAAGGCTTCGATTTTGTTTCCACTTCTCAACACGCCCATCACCAGTCGGCGCTTTCCACGCACAGATATATTCCCACATCTGGTACTGACTGTACGTTTTCGAGTTTGTAAACGCTTGAACGATTTTCCCGCGCTTAGCACGTAAGGGCTGTGCACAGCCAATGGTGCCATTCTTTTCGCGAAATTTCTGCACTTGGCACCTGTCCGACACTTAAGCACGATTGTTGTACTCTTGCTGCCTGCATTTGCCACTGCGCGAATGAAGATTCAGGCATTCATTAGATACTGTCGGTATTCCTGCTTTTCAGTGCTAAGAACAGTTCCATGGACAGGTGTAAAACACGTTAAAAGCTTTCCACATATATTGACGCTTTGCCTTGTTTGGCGTGTTTCCATTATAACAAATACTGGTATGGCGTACTGGGCACTAAAATTACATATCCTTTGATTTGAGCGTTCCATCCCTTGCATCTCAATTGAGATATATTAAAGATATCTGCCTCAAAACTTCCTGTTTATCACCAGCTGACCGTCTTAAAAAGGCAAAATAGTAAGTTCCTCCTCAGAAAAAGACTTGACTTTTTGTCGTTGAACCTTTTTTAGAGTCTTCACTGGGCATTCAGTAATCGCCCTATCCTTTCTTACAGCCAGTAATGGCCCGTTAAGCAACCCACATCTGTCATTCTTCATTGTTATCTTGATATAGCCATCATCTCCCCACAGGTGTCCCCACGAGTTTTTGATGACCCAGTATGGTATCTTATTATAAGAGCCATATCCTACAGTCAGTATAGCGTGGTTTGTCTTTTTGCCTGTAAAACCGAAAAAATACCCTCAGTTTCTTCATATTTCAGTGCACTTTGTCGTGGTGTATATTGAGGGGGCCATAGAAAGTGTCCATATTAACGGGATGTCCGTATTAAGCGGGCAATGTTATTAAAGTCAAAAATACCCCATTTATATTTGATCAAAATACTACAAAAATAAAACAGGACACTATCATCGTCAAGCTTAACTTCTCTAAACTTCATTATTCGTTATTCCGCGGATTATGTAATGAAAACACTTAAAAATCTAGACAAAGTCGCTCATTATACATTACGTAATTAAAAACCGTTCTCTGGATAACTCGATTGATGTCAAAATAGTCCAAAATTGACGTCCAGAATTCATCCTATCTGGTGTACAATAGCGCTGGGAACATCAAAATTATGTCAACTGAAGGTTTTGTACCTTCAAAAAAGAAAGGTTTCAATTACAACACACAGTGGACAATGAAGTGTCCGCATTAGCGAGGTTGACTTTATATGAGAATCTGTTTATTGGACATAAAAAAGTGTCCGTTGTCCGCTTAAAGGTGTCCTTATTAAACGGGTTGAAATTAAAGAAAATGTGAGGGCTTTTCTTCCCCAGGGACAAGGGAAACTGTCCGTAATAATGAGGCGTCCGTATTGAGCTGGTGTCCGTAAAGCGGGGTTCGACTGTGATTCATAATCCTACTCACGAACGCGCAAGCTAAGATTAAAGGGGACAGACCATAAACGATTGTTGTTCATGCAAATATCTAACTATCGAGTACCGAACCGTTCATCAGCAGGATGAACGATTTTTGGTTGTGGGTACTTGTGGTAACAATATAAGGATACGAAGTTTTCGTCAGATTCCTTAACTTAACAACAATAATAATTTTCTTACCACATTTGGGGTCGTCATAAATCCCGTGGCTGTAAAACCTGAAAGTCTTTGCATCTGCGTTTACAGATGATGCTATGGGGCCGTGAGTGACTAGAGCGAGTTTCATCTCGTCTGAGTTGTTCTTCTTTACACTAGAGAAGCCGCTTATGTGAGCAATAGTGCAGTTATCGGAGTGACCACAATGACAGAAGCCCTCCTAAAAAAAAACACGACAAAACTGTTGCGTTGCTTTAAACTTGAGGAATTTAAATTTTTTATCGCAAGCCGTTTACTAATCGAATTTATGGAGATTTAAAGGGATTGGATTACCCATAAAGCTTCGTTGAAAACGGGCAACAAAAATGTGCAACTTGTTTGGCAAAACTGCTGAAAAACGAGTTGAAAATCGATGTTGGGCGCTTTACCAACCTATCATGCAATAATTCAGGTTCTTGCAGGTTGCAAAAAGTTGTTACAGAAAGAAGAGAGTCGTTCTGCTTTTTGCAACAACATTACGCATCCTACAACAACCTGATTTGTAGCGAGACAGGTTGGTTCGTTGGTAGTAAAACCGGCAACATCGCTTTCCAACTCGAAATTTTGCAAAACAAGTTGCACGTTTCCGTTGCCCGTTTTTTCGTAAATTAAAGAGACTGAGACGGACGACAGAGGGCATATTTGCCTCCACTGGCAATTTTGGCTGGCAGATCATATAGAGTGACTTCTGTTTATGCATCGTAAGAGAATTTGGGTTCTGTGAGGAATTGACATATTGTCAGCCTTTGAATAATTGCAAAAGTCCTAAACAATAACAGAAGCTTACTTGTGCAAGGTAAGGTCCATAATCGCGCCTCAGCGCCACGCCATTGCGTTTCACCCATTTTAGTGTTCTATCCTGAAATCCTCCGCGACATCCACGATTCCCTGCGGGCCAGGAGCAGTCAATCAGCTGCTGGTTCGAAAGCTCAACGAGTTCTCCAGTCTGTTCGAGGTAAGTTGGAAAATGCGCATGCGTCAGTAAAGTTACAAAACCGGGAGGAGGCACTTATCAGGAATAAAGGTACGGTCTAATCATCCATAGCCTCCCATGCAGACGTTCTTAGGGGTTCGTCATGCGTTCCTGCCCCGAACCCCTAGGAACGTCTGCGTGGGAGGCTAAATCATCCACGGTAGATTTGTTTGATAAATTCCTTCCGCTTTACTCATTTTTTATGAGAATGAGAAGCCTTTGAAAATATAGCCTAAGAAAACGCCAACATTTTGCGACAAAGCCTCTGGTTTCCCCGCGAAATGACGTCTGGGGATTGAACACAAAAATTCCATACTGATGAGGCGTCACTACCCAGATCTGGGTAGTGACGGATCATCAGTATGGAATTTTTGCATTCGTTTCTCATAACGTCATTTAGCGGGGAAACCATTGGTAGCGTCGCCAATGTCGGCTGTTTTCACAGGATATTTAAAATAGTTCAAAGAAATAACTTCCATGGATCAAGTGAAACCAGTTTTACCTTCAAGAAATTGGCTCCTTCCACAGCTCCCACAGCAGAGAAAGTCCAACATGATCCACATAAGCCTTGACTATGGACACGCGTTACAGCACCTGGAAATAACAGGACAAATATAGATTTATTATGTAGTTTAACATAATTACTGCCTTGAGAGCATTAACAGCGGTTCAACCTTTATCGTTATTTAATAAAGTATAACTTAAAATTTGAATTTTTGTACAAAACAAAAAACATAAAAAGAAAAAAAATTAAATGATAACGAGCACGAAATAAAGCGATAAGTAATTTCACGTAGCTAGACAATCATTGAAGTGTTTTATTTTCACGCCTTACTATCATTTTAATATTTTACATACAACTTCACCTTCCTCCGAACATATAACGAGTTAGTTAATGGTGGAGAAGGCAAATCTCTAATACAGTCGAACCTCTCCACAATGGCCTCCTTGGGGACAGAAGAAAGTTGGGAGGCAGGGGTGTATTATAACAATTTTTGTTCGGGATTACAACATGTTTATTGTTCCATCTTCATGCTTAATGCTTTATAGGTAACTGTAAAAGGGATTCGGTCACTTGTAGCTCTGGAGGCTGGTTTATTCTCCTTTAAGGCTTCATTTCGAGGTACCTGTTTTGCTCTGTTTTGTTTTGTTTTGTTTCTGTTTTATTTTTTATCGTAGACAATTTATCACTGCAGCAGTATAAATGAAACAAAATCAAAACACGAATGCCGCGATTAATCATCAATGTAGTGCCATAAGGAACAAATTTCAATACCATTCTTGACCTTTTCATCAGTCGCTGAGAAAACTGGCCGTTGTCGAGAGGTTATTTTGGCAGTTGGGGACACGCTTTGGTCGTTGCCGTTGTAGAGAGGTTTAAATAAGTCTTAGAGTAAATGTGAAATGTGTGGACTGTCTGCTGGAACAAAATAAAGTGGCCGTTGAGGTGGCTAATGTGGAGAGGTGGCCGTTAGTGGAGGTTGGACTGTTTAAACGACCTTAAATGCTTACGAGGACGCAAGACCAGAGAAGTTAAGGTTGGATGCGAAGTAGTCGTCTATCCGGGTTATCATGAACTCGACTTTCTACTATATCGAATTGACTCCGACGACGCTGTTGCTTTGTATGCTTTCTTGAGAATTTTTCCCCTACTAAAACGATGCTAAACGGTGAATTCTGCCATGTACCACTTGAAAACTTACATACTAGGGCATAAGTAGAGATAAAGCGCCCCCTGAAATTACGAAGTTTCTTGCAGCGTACCTAAAGATTGTTTCGCCAAACTTGATTAACTGCTAATTATAATAGAGAACATGAGAAGATAAACGCTTACCATAATCCCTCCAGTCTAGTTCATCGGGAACAAGGCCAGATGTCAATAATGACTGGTTAAAATACAGCACTTCTGATAACTTGGGGTTCTTTTTTTCTTTCCCATCGTGAAGAAGTCCTCGGTGTAAATCTATTTCTTCTTCTGTCATGTCAGCAAAATTATTTGGAGCTAGTTTGTACTTCAAATTTTCTCTGTTCTTAGAACGAATGAACCTGCGATTCAAATCACCAATAATAGTATAGTGTTGATGAAAACTGACAAGTTTTCCCAGAATATTTACGCAAGAACATTTTTTACTGAACCGATTTCGGTTTAGTAAAATTCCAACTTGGCTCAAAGGCTTGGGATAATTAAACAAAAGACATCATATAGTGGTTCAGGGATGAAGAAAAATGTGTTCCTTCTGTTTAATTCTCTTGTTAAGCATCGGAGCCAACTATGAATAATCAGCTTAGCTAGAGGTAACCAACGGAAAGGGACTGGGTAGGATAAGATGCTACGGGAAAGAGCGGGTAGGTCAAGTATGAGAGACTAGAATCCCCGCCCGTCTAGGTACTTTGAGCTCCGGTTGTTGGCCTTTTAATTCGAAGAGCGCGTTTGCCTATTTTTTTCTGATGATGTCTAAGTTCGTTAATTCTGTTACCAGCTCTTACGAGAGGTCTGGTTTAGTAACGTACTATAGAGCGGCTATGCGATAATTACCAAGTTTGTGTAGTTACCTTAGATTATGCTTGAAGATGTGTTTCCGTTGTTCATGTTCTCTTGAAGTAACGTAATTCTTAGCATGTTTAGTTCTGTATTCTTTGTAGGACTTTTCAAGTTCACGATCTTTGTGGTGTCCAAAGTGCAAGTATTCAGCCATAGGGTTCGCCAAATAGTGAGACCGCAGTTTCTTTGCTTTCTTTTCACATTTCGAGTCTGTAATGAAAACGAGAACAATTATGTTAGACCACTGTCGAGACAGCGTACTAGTATACACCGGAAGAAATGCACTTACAAAAGATGATCAATAAGTAGACTTTACAATCATTGGTAAATGAATCTTAGTACTAAAAAAGCACAACAAAAGCCTGAGACCTCTTCTTTTGATTGTGCGCGGTTATAACAATTCACAAGACTAGCAACCATCTAAAACTTCGACAAAACGGGCAACAAAAACGCGCGTCTATTGTTTTGCAACTTGTTGCAAAAAGGAGTTGAAAAGCAATTAGGCACGTTTTATCACCCTCGTTCAAACCTGTTAACAACCTGATTTGTTGCAAGAAAGGTTTGATTCGTGGGTGGTAAAACGCGCTACAACTCCTTAATTGCAGCAACGTTCCAAGACAAGTTGCATGTTTTTTTGTTTCCCATTTTGCCATACCTCAATATAGAACCGCAAAGCACACTGTATATACGGCAAATGAAATCAGCTCATGATTTGTATTTAACTGAAATGATTCGATTGTCTCTCACTAACACAGCAGACTTGTCCCGAGACAGAACCAATAAAAGGACGAACTTTAGTGCAGTAATTAAAACTGAAAGACCAAGCATAATTTTTGATGAAAACCTACTTTTAGGTAAGTTGAACAAAGATCTGTTAAATTTCCAAGGCTCGAAAGTAACGTAATCAAGGATGTAGCGATCATAATGTGACGTCAGCATATCATCGTATCCAACCATCTCGTATCGAAGAGGCCTGTGTGGTTTAGTTTTGGAAATATAAAAACTGTACGTGTTGCTCTTGTTAAATTTTCTTATTTTCCTCTCGTATTTCAGACAAGGCATTCCTCGGTGCATTTCTTCGGAAACAAACTGAAAGGATAAAAAAGCAATTTAAATATATATTTTTACGTACGACACACATAACATGGCCATCCCAGAGGAGTTTTTACAAAAACCGGTGGGTGCACAACACGTTGTGAAAATTTTGTATTAATCCCCAGAATTAAAGTTACTGCCACCACTACAGGCGACCGCAGCGGACTTGAGAAAGAGAGGGGGTGAAGTGGCCTTTAAAGGGGGAATCAGTATGAAAATCGTGTCTTGAGAACATCGAAAGCAAACCACAGTCACAATGAGCATCAAAAAGCAAACCCATCTAAAAGTTGTAAAAATAACTTTCTCTTAAGCTTTCCTTAATTTTTCAATGTTGGATCGTGAATGATATTTTCGCATCGAAGGTCATTTCACCAAGTTGATCTTACGATAGAAAATTCTAGAGGCGCTTCAGTCCAAAAAAGGATGTATTGGCTTATTGACAAAGTCGAAAAGTAAATCAATTCCCTATGCTACTTTTGCCGCATTACTATATCATTTTTCCAACCTTAAACTCGGATAGGTTTGTTGGTATGACACTCTGTCCTGCACGCGGCATCCATTTTGGAAGTGGTTTATGCCAGCAACTTATGAAGTTATGATCGGAGGGCTTCATCTCATAATGCATGGGTACAATTTTAAACAGGATTCCGTTTTTGCCCAGGTCTCCACGCTGAATTGTCTTGTCCATACCTAAACAATAATCATTAAATGATTGTAAAAAAAGAATGAAAAAGTATCTTTCAATAGCTGAGTAATGAAAAAAATATATCTATATTCGATATCGCCGAATATAAGCTTGTTAATTTCAACAAATCGCAGGTTTCCAAAGAACGGTAATGAACAACACCTCCTTAATTCTCCTGGGCCTAGTTCCCAGCAATGGTCATTCTTTTTAGAGAGACCCTTGGAACGAAATTGAGGAAAATATATAGTTCATTTTGATGAAACATGGAATGACGGTTGCACTTATGAGCCGCTTAGGAATGATGAAGATGAAATCATGAATATATGAAGTACATATATTTGAACCGCGGAATGAAGAAATAAATGCAAAGAAGAGCATCGCAATTGATTAAACACGCAACTGACGAGATGATCTTCTTTGCATTTATTTGATAATATATAATTATAAATATCAAAATCAAAGACAAATTAAAATCATACCAATGAAATACAGTACACGAAACCTTAAAAAATCAACTGTTTTTACCCTAAAACAGGTTCCACACCTCAACGCCCACACAGCGTTATTAAAGAAAATGTATGGCCACAGATTGAAACTACCTTGTTATTACTTAATTTTGCAGGTCTTTAATTTTGCGTTTTTTCGATTGTAATTAAACAGCGAAATTAAAGACACGCGAATAAAAACCTCGCGAAATTTAATACACATATAGGGAATTCCAATCACGAAAAATAACAAGAACATATATAGGATATATGTATAGACAAATGCATATATTTGTGACTGGTTTTATTGGTATACGTTCCAGTTTGTTTCTTCTGTTGAGAAATGACGACCGTACAGCGTTAAACCCTTTAAGCCCCAGTATCCAAATACAAATTCTCCAGACTGATCTCCATACATTTCCTGCAAGAATTGGTTAAAAGAATTTGATAGCAGATCAAAGCTTTTCCCATCAGGTGATTATTTTATTGATTCTCACAACTTTTCCTTTGATTGTGTATTGATTTTGTTGGGAGAAAATTGACTTTGGTCACTCTTGGCACTTAAAGGGTTAATTTGCAAATTTCCGGTTCACCTTAAAAGTTTTTTTTTTAATTAAGCGTTTTCTTTGTTCCAGTTTTAAGAACTAAACATTTCATACTTTTTGAAAAATAAAACAAAGTTGAGAACGCTTGAATCGTTCAATTTGAACCCGCGAAAATAAAACCCCGTGAAATCCTCTCTCGCCAAAATCGAAAAATTTAGTGCCAATAATTTTACTCTCTAACTACAAAACCTACTTCATCTAAATGAAATATCACAGTTTAAACTCAGCTACTAAAACATTTAAGGAAAAAATAAACATTAAATAAAATCAGCCTCGAAGGAAAGCTTGAACCTCTCTAAACAAAATATTATTGATAAATATAACTACGAATCTCAAGTGGTCTTTATATATGACCACTTGAGATTACTTAAAAGTAGCTTCCAGAGATCGAATAAGCCAACGCAGTCACTATAAAGCAATTTCTAATGTTAAGCGATGCATTTTAATTGTTATGTTTAAGTTTACGTACCGTAATAATAATCAATTCTGCTCATGTTGCGTTCTCCAGCGAACCATGCCTCGAATGGCTCTACAATGTCATCAAAAGGAAGAGAAAGGAGGCCAGACGAGTGGTAATATCGCGGAAAATATTCATCATATAGCTTGTCATAGTCTCCAACTATGTCATGTTTAGCAAGACTGAGAGCCGAGTCTTGAGAGAACTTCTGTATTTCGACTCCAATTCCTATAAGTAATGCTATCGTTAAAACCGCTAATACAAATATTAATACTCCTTTTCCCATTGAGTAAAGAGTTTTACACTCCACCAGTGCTCTCTGGAATTTTCCACGTGCGAAGCCACGACCAAACTAGACACCGTTTCAAAGTGCACTTCTTGCCTTTAACCGGCTGCAGTTGTTTTACCTCACCGTGCACCTGTGAACAATTTGTTTGGCTAACGAATTCTCAATCATTTGTCAAGTCTTCACTCTTTTCTTTCACTGACCCATTGCGCGTGCCAAGAAACTTAAACTGTGCTCATCAAAGTGCCTTCACGCTTTCGACTTTAAACATTATTCCTCGGATCAAAGTCATTGTCAATTTTGTGGCACGAAGATCCTTGCTTTCCGCCGCACAAAATTCCGCCTCCGTTCAAAACATTTCAAATCACTGACCTTTGTGTCAAGAAAAAAAAGGGCACCGGAGGCGAGATATAAACAAACGTATACAGTAAATTAAGGGCGAGTCTCCATCGCTAATTCCACTTCGTGAATAGGGAGAAAATTGACTTATAGTTTCGGTTCACGAAGTAGCAAGTTATATTGCTACTAAAATAAAATATTAATTACTGTAGGAAAGCCGCGGATTATTTGACAGGAACAAGTGTTTCTTATCTGTGTACCTGCTTAGATTGGTAATTTATCTTTGACACTGTAAATTATATCCTTCAACAAGGCGGCGACCACAATAAATCTGGTACCCGTAAAACTAAGCTAAAAATCTTTATAACTCCTTGAACTTATTACAACTAAAACTGCATATTTTGAGAATAGTGTAGGTGACACTCGGTGAAGATTGAAAAGTAAAGACCGCCAATGAAAGAAAAGAAAAAGACTGAAGTTCGAAGTCATAGAAGTACGCCGGAATTTTCACTCTAACTTTTAAATCTGTCGACAAAATCCAATAGTGTTACCAATCAAATGAAACCTCTTGGGCAGACCTTTGGCATGGTGCTTTTTATTCCTTAGTATTTTACAAAAAAATAATAATTGTTAGAATTTTCGTGAATTTTTACATTGGGTACTCTACGGAGTGAAAGGGTTAAGCCAACTTTCGTTTTGAAGGGTGTGGCACTTAATGAGGCGACGTAAAAGGGAGAGGGTTTCTTTGCCATTCGTTTCCTTATATGTTTGTGTGCGAGGCAGCGTGGCCCAAGGGTCTAGAGGCCCCGAGTTCAAGTCCCGCCCTGACCGCTAGCTGGATTTGTTCTCGGTAGTCCCGAGTTCAAGTCCCCGGCCACTCCTGTAAAAAGCCAACTGGATTGCCTCTTACACCAGTTTGGAATCTTGACCATATTATGTCCAAATTGAATTATTGACTCATTATCCCTGAGAGGCTCCATAAGGGGAGAGGATAATTAAGTATGAATTTATTAAAAAATGATATACCCGCGTTTGTTCAAAGGATGGGTAGCGTTATCCAACGGAAAAATCACTACTCACTTGATAAGGGTTACTGAAACCACTTGACTTATCCAGGAGTTCAAGGGCTCCTGACTTATCTAAGCGGATAGAGGTTCAACCAGTGGATAGCAACTGGAGAACTGCGTTCCGAATCATTTCAACAGACTGCAATTTTGACAGCGACTAATACTGAAAAAGTCGCTGAGCGACGATCAGTGAGACAAACGTTGCAGGCATCAAAACTAACATGCATAAACTACGAGAACTACATTCAAGGGCCAATTAAAACAAGTATTTTTCCCGCATATTATTTTCCCGTATTTTTCTCTTTAATGGAGTGGAACACCATGTCCAACGAGTCTATTGGACAACCATGCAAGCTTGGTTCGTTTGAAAAACCAATGGATAATATTAAGTGCTAGGAGATGACTCACCATTTTCCTGGATTTCTTTTATTTTTTTAAGACCCTCAAGAGAATCTTCGCATGGAGATGATGTAGCCTGTCCCTAGCCTGCGTTGCAGTCGGCCCACGCATTCGTCTAGTCCATTTGCGACTTTGCGGGATTCTAACACGATACTGCGCACTAATTCGCAGACGCTCTATACAGAAGGTTTAGAGCGTCTGCGACACACGCAACCTGTTCTAGGCTACGAGATGATCGGGTCTGCGGAAGGTCCGCGGGGATTGAGAAAGCGCGAGCGGAGGGAAAGTGCATTTTCCCCACTATCTGAAAGCCTGGTACTGGCTAGAGATGACGGGGCCACAACGAATGAAAAAAAGACAATGCTAAATCAAAGGATATGAGGCTAAATTTAGGCCTAAACTAGGAAAACATATTTGCAGCAACAACAACGCAAATTGCCTTTCTGCGCGTGATTGACTCATGATTGTGAAACAAGGTAACAGTTATAATTTAAACTTTTCAACAACTCAACTACAGACACTACATGTAGTAACCCTGATCAATATAACACTTTCTTAAAACCCCTGCATCAACTTTATTTAAATCAATAAAAATTACTTGAGGAATAATTATGACAACGATGATAAAGACCATGAAGATCCTGAGTTATACATTTCATTGGGGCAGTGACGTGCACGTTAACCCATTATTTACTTATAGTTGGAAAGCCTGAAAGCTTAAAAAGTATGCAGTTTGTCATATAAATACATTGTGCGTCTACTGCACGTAAAATTATTTAAGCGCTTGAAAAGTCTTCCTTAAAAGGTCGCTGAAGTGAGCGAAATTTTTTAAGAACAGGAAAGAAATACAAGAGTATAAATCTAACTGTACGATATTTATTTTATAAAATGTTATAAATTGCACTTGTACTGACTGTACTGGTCACGTGATTATTATTACCTTATCAAAGTATGCCCGTGACGTTTGGTGCGTGAATAATGGAATTATAATGAACTGGTTTTAGATCTCATTAAGTATTTTATTAATCTAGTCTTAGTTCATATTATCTATTGTCTTTCTGCTGTCTTTTTCTTCCTGTTCCTCTTTACCTCCATAAAAAAGCAATGGGAACATTCCAATAAAACATCCCACAACAATTCCAAATGCTCTTCCCTACAATTTAAACAGAATTTAACTTGTGAGAGAGGCGGGCTAATCTAGGGCACTTTTTAAGAGGTACATGTATCTTTTTATTAATTTAAGAAAGCTTTTTATTGCATCATTTATTAATTTTAGTCAGTGTGGACTTTTGCTGTGGGCTGTTTACAGTTTTTAGATAGTTCGGTTTACTTTTTAAGATTTTGAATAGCATATAAGCATCTCTAGAAGCCTACAGAAAAGGTGCTATATAAATAAACTGGTTTTTTTATATTATTGTTAACCAAACCTGTAACGTGAAGACAAAATACAGGAAATCCAATAAGGAAAGATTTTTTTGTCCCAATCTCATGAGTTATAACCAGACTTGTCCCTATAATGGTCAACCACTTACCATTTAATCTGGCCATGACAGGACAAAAAGTGACCAAACTGCCTAGTATGAAATTTCTAATCTTGGGGTGGGGTGGTTAAATCTTTTTTCTTTTTTTTTTGAGGGGACAGGGGGAAGGTCGGGTAGGTCGTTTATGAAAACAAGCACAAAGGAAGGACTCTGTAGATTTCAGACCTTTCAAGGTTCAAAACTCTGTGTACATGTACACATATGTACACCATGTGTCAAGTGCATGTTTGAATAAATACTGTGGCAGAATTAGCTCAGTTGGTAGAGCACTATCCTACAGAGTGGGAGGTCACAGGTTCCACTCCAACACCCAGACAAATACTCAGCATTTACAAATACAGCGTAACTAAGAAATAAAGGTACTGCCTTAGCCCTTAGATCACATACATTGTACAATGGCAGTCCTGTCTCCACATGCAGGACACATAAAAACAGTTTCCTCAATAAGTACTTGAGTGCTAAATATATCGACACTTCAAAAAATTAAGTTGATACTACACTAGATTGTTATATGAAAGCAGATCATTGAGTTATAGATGCAACTTTTGCAGTTGCGAAAAGAGAGCCTGAAAAAAAAAATTCAGGCATGCATGGGATTCAAACCCTTGACTTCTGTGATACCGGTGCAGAAAAAAATTGTTACATAGTAATGTAACAAAATGTTACATAGTACATATAAGACTTGTGTAAAATAAGTAACTGTAGAAGCCTCACCAAATTCGTTACAAATCTTGTTCTTGGCATCTCCGCCTGGTTTGAACTGAGTTTAGGACTTTGAAATCCAAGTCTGTTGGTTGCAGCCTCAACATAATGAGCAAGGCTGTGAAATAAAAAGAAAGATATGTGTAATCAGACACTGAAACACATATCTCGATCAATATTATAAACTTTATATTCCATTTTACCATTATCAGGTACAATGAATGTATGGCTACATTGCCACCTTAACATAGCACCTGATTTTAAAAATAATTATAATCTGTTTCACAACACATCCATAAATTAACTTTTATAAAGAACATTGTGACAGAGCTCTTCACAATAGAGACCTTAAGATACACCATTTCCGTGTGAGGGCATTGGGAAATTAACCCTGACAATAGCCAATTAATTTGGGTACCGGGGTGATTGCCTCTTAACAGGAGAAGCAGCTAAGCTACTGGGTAGAAAAACGACATCATTAACAAATAAAATCTCAGAAATCATCTTTACTATCAATACCCCCAGAGAAAAATGGTGTATCTTAAGTTCCCTAATAACATTGTTAGCACAGAAGCCTTAATCCTAGCATACATGTACATCAATTGTACATCTGCCTGTCTGGAAAATCAGGCATATGACAGAAAAAACACAAAACTTTTCAAGGCAAAACTACTCCTTGACATCTTGGAATCATTTTTGAAAGTGCTCCAAAGTTCTGAACTTTTACATGTGACGTTTGTTGCACTGTTCTGAATTTTTTTTACTAGTTTGCATCAAGTATTTTCAACAAATAAGATACACAAACAAAGCATCCACTTTCACAACAGCATTCTCTTCAATATATCTACCCTTATGAGTATCAGAGATAACCTTAGTTGAACCATCATGTCATTCGGATTGTCTATAATGTTTTAGAAAATAATTTTCAACTTAAATGAACCTAAGAAGTTCCTGTAATTAATAAAGATATTATTATTTATATTATTATATTGTAGAATCTCAGAATTATTATTATTATTAGTTAAGGAGAAAATAATTCATTCAAAATATATACTTGTGATCATGCAAACCACACTTAAAATAATATCATAAAAGTACATGTAGTCACAGCCAAATCTTATTGCATACAAAAGAGAAATGGACTACACTGAAGTACACAAATGTATGCTATAAAATTGCCACAATTAAATATTTAAAACACTTTTGCAAACAAAAAAAGACAGAAACCTACATGTAAATAACTGAAGTTCAATTTACCCTATTCCAGAGACATCAGACACAATATTACCCAGGGCAGCAGCTTAAAACAAGACGCAAAACAAACAACTTATTAATAATCAGCTTTTAAAAAATTAAAACCTACATAAAATACATTCAACAGACTACAAAAAACCTGAGTAACCAAAGTATTACATGTAACTACTTTCTGATAGACCATAGTCAGTACTTGTAACACCAAGAAATAAAAATTCAAAATTGTGCCTTGGTGATGTGATTTCTAGACTAGTCTGTACGAGCCTTAAAGTTTTAGCCATGTAATCTAGGGCCAGAGAATATAATAATTATCGTCATAAAGAAGCATATTAAAGAAGAATGGATACATAGTCAATAAGGAATAGAAGATAAAAAGAAAAAAGGTCTTCAGCGCTAACCTGCCATTGTTGAAATCCCAAGAGTCATTCCAATAGTGTAATCTATATATTCTCCCTGCAAAAATATAACTCAAGACAGTTGCAAGCCCTTTTAAAGCAGATACATGACAGTTTTCAAGGGCAGGTAATGGTGATATGTGTTAAAAAAAGATCCAACAAGGAAATTTTTTGCAATAATTTTAAAACATGATGCCATTGGAAAAGTAAAGTGCTAGGATCTGACAAGAAAGCTTAGAGAATTTGGGAATGTACTAGAATTAAACAGAGATTAATGTGGAGATGCAGCACATTTAAAGTTTCCACCAGAAACACATCCCATGAATTTCTGGCAGAAATAAACCCTCAATAAAGTATTACAGGTGGTTATACTACAATCACCAAAAATTTTTAATTTTTTCTACACGAAAGACAAAATTAGTTGAACCTCTTGAAGCAACAACCTAAAATCCTAAGGCTATCGGTGGTTGCAGGGATTGCACACTTACAGGAGGCTGCATGGTTGTTTATGACAGCTAGCATCCAGCTACATATGTATATATATATGTGATTTTATGCGACGATTGCAATTTTACCCAGAGAGATTAATATCATTACACAAATCTGCATTGTAATCGATAAGAAATCTTAAAAGTGATAATTATGTATACAATAATTTGCTGCAAAATAAAGTGACCTCATGGGCATTGCTCATATACTCATCTGGAAATTTTCCAATATTTTTTGCACCAAGTCAGAAAACCTGCATAGATCTACATGTATAGTGCTTTAACCAGGAAAACTTAATTTTAATTGGTGATGAAGGAAATGAGCAATATACACATTTTTTTTAATAATATTGTACGGTTTCTCCAAGCAATATTTATTACTCACTGCGATAATCATTATAGCATTATCCAAGAGTCCAAACCCAATAAATGGAACAGCACTGTGGAAAGCAACTGTCAGAATAAATTGTAAAATATGGAAGATATTACAAAACATACACGTATTTAAAAAATATTCCCCATCCAAAAACCAACTACGGAGCCCGTAAATACAAGTTAAAATACTTTACCTAGTCTCAATTGACTCACTGAAGGAGGTGCTGAGCTTTCATTTCCTATTTCATTTAAAAATTCCATGTCAAACATTTTACCACATGACAAATCAGTTACTCATAAAATATATAATATAATTATATTGATACATGTAACTTTGTTCCCGGGATAATTATTAGCATGCATACCTGACCACTTATTCAATTAACACCTACCGGTACATGTATCCAATGGCTTGAAGGACTTGATGCACCAGTCGATGTCCAATCTTCCCAGCGTGCAAAGAAAGTCATGTCCCATAGCCCGTGGCCAGTGGATTTTGCTATTGGGGTAGTAATTTTTGTTCTTAAGTTGCCCGACGGGTAAGTGCTGTTATTTGGGGAAATTCAAATTACAGAAGGATTGTAATCAATCCTGCTAATCAAAAAAGGGTTTTGAGGCTAGTTGAAATGACTTGTGGGCTAGTACATACTAGCTACAGCTTGCCCGAATGGCAGGCTGTAAAACTGACTTTCTTTGCACCCTGCTACCAGAATGCCAAAAACCAGTGTTTCTGATGTTCAGAAAGTTTAGATTTTCCCTGGGACGCATGCCCCCGAGCCCCCTACTTTATTGTGCACCAAAATTCTATCCCACCAAAATGCAAAATTTGCGTGCCATTATATTAACAAACCAATTAAAAACAACATGACCGTCCTCACTAGGTGTAACATCCAATGCAGTAAATATTTTATAAGTTTGCCACTTTTTGAAGCTCCCAAAGTTTCTCTCACTTCTCGTTTTTTTGTTTTTACAACGTCAGCTTATACCAGACGTCTGTTCTCTGCTTATGGCCATTAAAAATGTGTAGCAGTCAGTCCTTTCTCCCTCTCTCAGACTTTCTTTCTTTTTTTTTGTTTTCTTGGGGGGGGGGGGGGGGGGGGGGGAAAAACATTTTTCAATTTATTTGGGATAAAGGGGGGGCGCGCCCTGGGGGAAAAAATGAATGGGCCCTACAAAAAATTGTTTTTTATTTTAAAGTGGCATAATTTTTTTGCACTTCTTGGTACCAATTTTTCTGGGGGCGGTTTCACACGTGCCCGTAAAAAGTTGAAGAATCCCCACATGTCCCCGGTTCATTAGTTTGTTATCTTTTCTCTTTCTCTTCTTTTTCTTTTTTTTTTTTTTTTTGTTTTGTGGTGGGGGGGGGGGGGGGGGGGGGGGAGGAGGTGGAGAAGACTATCTCAATTAATTTGGGATACAAGAGGGACCATCCTCTGGAGAAAAAATGAATGGTCCCTAACAAAAATTTGTGTTAATTTACAAGTTGCATTAATTTTCTGACATTCTTGGTACCATCTTATCAGGGTCGAGATCTACCAGTGACAGTAAAACTGTGAAGAATCCTCAAAGTTGCCAGGTTACTTAGCTTGACACCCCTTTGTACGTTTGGGGAAAGTACTATGAACAAAGTGTCCACTTTGGATTATATGTTTAAATTGTTCCAGTGTCTCAACAAGCCGAATGTCATGTTATTATCCTTTATTTTGGAATTTTACCATCTCTTTCGCGTTTATTTCCTTCAATAAGGTGACAGGAAAAAATGGCTGGCTACACGGGCTGGCTTTGTCTGAATTTCAGATATCCCTTTAAGTCACCTACGAGCATGTGACTCGAATGTCTGAAATTCAGGCTAGCATTGGCTAGCCACCATGGATTGACACATGACAGACATTACAGCTGTAGAACGCTCCACGTCTGGGGCATAATTTGACACCACCAGTAATCAGCTCCTAACACCACCAAAAGTACTCAGACGGTGGGTACTTACAGTATTTTTTTGTGCATTTTTTTTTTAACATAAATTCTTGGTTGGGGTGTGCTGCCCGGTTCTCCAAATCCTGACCCTGTTTCAGACCAAACAATGTAATTTTCCACACCCGTTTTCAGACCAGACCTCTAAAATCCATAGATTACCTGTTCTCAGACCTGTCCTTTAGGCAGAAATTATGTTATCATTACTTAGATTAGAGCACAAACAAAAAAATTCTTCAAATCCATTTCGAAGTCTCATATTTCTCTTTCTTTCTTTTATACTCATTTGGAATGGAAACAATTAATTTTTCATATATACATTCTCGTAGTTCCCTCAAAAACCACCCATTCTTTTCTTATCTTTTAGTCATCAATACTTTCATTAACCCGATTAAAGGCAAAGATAAAATTCAAAATTTAAATCAAAACAAAATCTAATTTGAATAACTAAACTCAGCTGACATTTAAGCTCATGATGAATGATACGCGAGCCTAACAGGTATAGACAGTGTTTTATGCAGTTTTTTTAAAAATGATAAACGCGTTCGTGTGAGAAATCTCTTCAGACAGAGGTACATTTAGACATTAAACAACAAAGATTTAGGTCCACTTACTGGAGTTTTCCTCTGCTTGATTATATGGTGTGACTCGAAGGGCTTCTCGAAGCAGTTCGCGTTCATTTTCGTGTAAACTCGCAACAAACACCTCGGCACTTTGCGGTGTCGTAAACACGCTTATTCCTCCTCCCTTTCCTCTGTATATCTGCCTGATTGGTATTCTTATCACCGTTCTTCGATTTAGACAACGAGATCTGAGTACTGTGCGACAAAAATGGCATATTGAGACGCGAAGGCAACGATACATCTCCAGAGCTTACGCCGCTTCATTCATCGGTTTCTTGGTTATGTATGCTCTATTGTAATGTATCGTTATGGCTGATAGCTAAGGAAATGTGGTAATCTACCCAACCTCGTCCCCAGGATTTTAAGCCCTAGGGACGAGGTTGGTAATCTACCCATCCGAGAAAAATTTGGTAATCACGTGACCGTACACCGAGCGACCGACCGACCGACCGTCAGTCCGCACCACAGGCATACCAATGTAAAATAACTCAATCAACAGATCTGGGAACCCAAATGCAACTTAAGGTTTTCAGATTTGGAAGGAAATCACATGGCCGCTCGAACTCTTAGAAAGAAAAAGGTCGTGTCTTTTTCGGCATTATTTTTATGTTTACACTAACTTGGATAACAGAGGAAGAGCTAGAGCGAGTTATTGAAAACAAGGAGACGAATTTCGTAGGAAGAAAAACATGGAAATTCAGCGGCAGTGAAAAATGATGAAAAATGAGCGGCAGTGAAAAATAAAAGCGAACATGAGCACAGGAAACAAAATATTGGGTAAACACATGCAACAATTCCTCCATAAAAATAATGTGTAACTAGGAAGTTTGAAGTTTTAGAGGTACAAAACAGCGTTGTAGTCGTGCAAAACAACGGCAAGGGAAAGACAAAAGAGCGTGCTGCACGTGCAAATTTGTTTTTTGCTAATTAGAGGATAAAGGGTGCTGCACGTGCAATTTGTTTTTTTGCTAATTAGATCTATTAGTCTTGACTGAGCCATTTTCATTGTCGTCCCCGTTTGGCATTACGCGATTTAATTTTTTTTGTTTACATGTATTATTAACCAGAGCTTCGGTTTTAGCCCTGGCTAAATCTATATATTAAATTCAGATAGTGGAGAGCGGTGCGAGGTAAAGAAAGCGGTGAAAAGTAGAGGGGGACGCGCTCCTTTTTACTTCGCACCGCTCCCCACTATCTGAACGCCTGGAACAGGCTACGATACGATACCATAATCGAGCACAGCGTTAAACTCGATACCAATTATCGAAACTATGATATGAAAATGAAGTTTAACAGCCCTTCGGAGGCTCTGATCACTCCCCCCGCCCCCGCCCCCCCACCCCCTCCGCAAAAAAAAAAATCAAACACACGCAAAAAAATTTAAGTTGACCTGAATAAAAGAGGATGAGGAGCAGTTATCGCTGACTTGAAAATATTATAGCTCCTTCTTTCTTCAATTATTTATATATTATTTTATTGCAGTCAATTTTTTATCGCAAGTATTTTTTATGTTTTCATTGTTTCAATTCCATTAGCACACATTAGTACCACACCCCAAATCAAAAGAAAAACAAAAATTACGTGAGATAAAAATCAACTGTAACAAGTACACTCACTTTTGTTCCCTTATTAAATTTGTGTCGCTCACAAAGGCAATTTCATTCATTGTTTCTTGAGAAGGTCAAAAACTACAAGAGGTTCTGAATTAAATTTCTCTCTGTGTGGTTGATATTAATCGATGTGGAACCTTAGGATCCCTTGACTCCTTCAAGAACCAGAGATTAACGCCCTATAAAGCGTTACCTTCTGTTATGAATCATTTTTCCTTCTATGTAGTTAGTTACTGATCCCTAGATAGGTGGCACCTTATTCGTAAGTATTAATTGAAGTAGATTCGTGCTTCCTAGAAAATTATATTAAATTCTAATTCTAATCACATAATCTGCAAACGGGTATATCCCATCACGGCAGAAGTGTAGATGTGCATTTTGCTTATGTTAAAAATACAATTAGTTTAAAAAAAGAGAGAGATAGAGAAAAAAAGCGCCAGCGCTTTTAAAGATGGCCCATGACGGCTTTTTTGAAAGCCTCTACTGACACCCTACTTTTCAAAGACACTATTTGGTAAGGAGTTCCAGTTTCTGATTGTACGTACAATAAAACTGTGTTGGTATTTGTTTGTTTTAGCGCCAACTTGAATGAATTTCTTAGGATGGAATTGCCTAGTCCCTGTCACCTTTAAAATAATATAAAGGGTGGAAACTGTATACTGACTGATAGACCAGAAACTACTTTAATCATCATTGTGAGTTGTGCCACTTTCCTTCTTTTCTCGAGAGTTGGCTATTTCAAATCATTCAGAATTTTCGTGACAGTTCCAGGAGTGGTGTAGCCTACGTGGCAGGCGTTTGAAAACTCCCTTTTCCTTCCCTTTCAAACGCCTGCCACGCAGGCTAGGAGTGGTGCTATATTCATTTTTAACAAAACGAACCGCTCGTCTCTGCACACTGTATTGGTATTCAACTGGAGATTTCGAGCATGAGACTCTTAGGATGGTGTAGTCTTCTTTGGATGACGACATTTGCCACGTGTCCCCCCAGTGTCAAGTGCGTTTAGGTCTTGCTGTGGTGACTTTGCATCATTACAAACTTTGATTACACCATACAAAACCGCGTCGTCCGTGCAAAGGCCAATTTGCGCCTTTGTGTTTTCGCCGATATCGTTTATGTACAAAAGGAACATAAGTGGACCCAGCACCGTCCCCTGGGGCAGACCTGACCTCGGGAATTGCTGATGATGATACACCATCAACAAGCACTCTTTGATGTCGGGTGGTTAGCCAATGTTCGAGCCGTATGTCTTGAGATTACCACGAATTCCGTAGAAATTCAGTTTATTCAACAATCGTCGGTGGGGCAACGTGTCGAATGCCTTTGAGAAGTCGAGTAACAACAATAACTGTAATCAATTGCGTTTCACAAGAGTGGTGTTGTCTGAAGCCATGTTGAAAACGTACCAGGATAGAAATTGAATTAAGATGATTCATGATGTGCCGCCGGTATATAATATGAATAATGTCTATAAATTACAATAAAACCACAAGAAAATAAGAATGATATCATCTTAAGTATAGATATAGTTCACTGGGTAATGGCAGGTCCAAATTTTGCTTGTTTCTACGATTCTAAATAACTTTTAATCTATGTGGATGCTTTCTTGCCCATTTTATAAAGAAATTCCTGCTGTCAAACGTCCCATACATTAAAGCACACGCCCAAAATGTCAAGATTTGAAGGACTTCCAAGTTTCAGCTTCTGTGTGTTAACTAGGAAAACTGAATTTGCTATTTTGGATGGGTACAAGAGGTTTTTTTTCCTGGGTGCAGCGGGATGCTTTGATGTCGGCCTCAGTGTAACTCATCTTTGGCCTAAAGTCTGTGGTACCCAGGGTAATTATAAACAGATCAGTAACTGTCAACCAGCAAATTAACTTGAAACCTAGTAAAAGTTAAGAGTAATTCAGGTAAGAGAGAAATAAAATTTATTTCTCTATTACCTGAATATATTGGAGAGTACTGAAACATTGAGGCAAGCCACTTGTTTTGGTTCTTCTTGTTACCTGTAATGGCCAAGTCACTTAACTTCACTAAATCTCCATTCCAATGTGTTTAATCACTTTCCATCACCTTCATTCAAAATGACCTGATTGGGATCAGAGATAATTTGAAAACTGAAGGTAAAACAGAACCTGGTTCTAAATTGATTTACTTTTTACACAGGGTTCATATTTTTTTGAACTCTTCAAATTCCACGAGTTTCCATGACTTTTCCCATGGCATTTTAAGTTTTCCAAGACCTTAGGTTTAGCTGTCACTTTCAAAACTTTTAAAAACTTTCCTTGTTCTAGGGTATGGCTGGACCTTTAACAAATGTGTGCCGTTTGTGCTGTTTAATTACCCCTCTTTATAACCTTACATTGTCCTTGCCTTGCTGGCAGTCTGCAGACTAAAACTAATCAAACAAAACTTTAATTTTTCATGACTTCCCGGTTTTCCATGACCTACACGAACCCTGTTACAGAACAAAGTCTCTTTTGAAAATTTATGACAATCACACAGTTTTAGGGTAATTGGAGCTGACAGCAGTTTAACTAAGACCACTCTATTTTCAAAATGAAACTCACTCAACTAATAATTTTCACTACAAAACAGAAGTTCACCTAATCAAGTATTTGTATAATTCAATTTATTTATCAAATAAATAATAATTATTACTATGACCAAGATAACATAATCATTCCTTTTAAAACAAGAATACATCATAACAAATTTAAAGAAAGTCACAACTAATACAAAGGGAAAAGGGAATTTTTTCAGATCAAAAAACCCCCGCAAAATACAAACAATAGCAGATGATGAATTTTCAGCTTGGTACATGTAGTTCATAGCCCACACGTTGGGTTGCTATGTATACATCATTTCAGCCATGGCTGACATAGGCTTAGGAAAATAGAGCAACTGATCAAAATATGATGCTAATTCTTCTGGTGTGGTGTCGTCAAAGTTCATCCTTTGAATATTTGCACCCTGCAATCTACTGTGTTGTCTTCCGCAACCAACAGCAATTTGTGCTGAATGAGGTCTTTGTTCAGCTTTGTTTTCTTCACTTTCACTACATTTACTTCTACATTTAGCTGCAACAGACTTATTACATTCTAGTTCACTATCGCTGAGCGAGTCTCTTTCATTGTATTCTGAAGTTTCATCAGTTTGTAATTCAAGACTCATTTTACGTCTCCTCCGCCTGAAGCCATGGATATGTTGACTTTTGTAGACAGATGATGATGCTTGTTGATTCTTATAGATAAATGTTGGTTGTCGAAGAATCCTTCTCACGCTTTGTCTGCTTCCATTGTCTTTACTCACTGAATTTCTAAGAGCCACCAGTCTTGCCCTCCTATGAAGTCTTTTCCTGTAAAAATAGAACAACATTACTGGGAAAAAGGCAAAGATGGACCTCTGTTATTAGCATAGAAAGTGGGAAAAATGGTATTGATATGGAGCAAAAAACTAAAAAGAGAAAAACTATGGTAACTAAGGTCTAGTCAAATCCCTGGGTTGCCAAAGGTCAACAGTAATAATGTAGTTTCATTTCCAAAGGATTTATAATAGATGCTTAGATGGAATGTAAGATGTACTAGGATGCAATAGTTAACATACTTAACTTATTTCCCTCTGATCCAAAAATGGCAAAATTTACCTTGTTCAAATAAAAA